GATTGGCCTGGGACGCTGGTAGACTCAGCAATCTTATCGTATTGAAAGGTGCGAACAATCTCAAAGCCATCTGCATATGGTTGCGGTTTTTCCATGTTGCACCGCTTTCTTTTTCACGAACATGCGTGGGAAAGGGAAATGAGCCTAACATACTTCTCTTGGCACACCAATTTTAATTGCTCACTGGCCTAACGGGCAATGGTTAAATGTAACTATCTGAAAATATCCGTCAAGTAATGACTCAAACATATTATACAAGAGGATCGCCAGCCCATAGGACGTAGGCTCCACAAAACCTTGCTGGCGCGGGCCCATGTCAGGTGCATAACTGAAGTCGAAAGAACGTCACTGCCATTCAATCCACTTTTCGACTATATTTTCGGGATAGTCCGGCAGGTAGGTGCCAAAGCATTCTGTTTTGGGTAGCCCACTGTGAGAAGTCGATCACAAGTTTTGCCGAAAAGGAGACCCCTGACACCATTATTTACACTTTTCTCCACTGCTACGGAAAGAATGATTTGACGGCAATCGTTTAAATGTTCGTTGGACCCAGGTTTATAAGTGGGGGTAATACAAACGGCTTTAGAGGTGGATAGGTGAAATGCGCCGCTGGGTGACCAGGAAAATGTCTTCAGATGAACGAGAGGCATATTTTCACCTCTGTCTCTCGTGGTAGCTGCAGGGTGCTACATGAATCATCCGAAAGACAAGATTTCAGGAAAGTGATAGCAACAGTAATATTTCGTATTTCAAATCGCGGATTTCTCATCCTAGATGAGGATACTGTTAATCGCTCCATCCCAAATGCGTTGATTTCACTCATCAAACTTCCAGTGAGGTGGTTGCTGAAAAGATCCACAGTTTGCTTAGGGTCACTACGTCCTCAACTGTTGCAGCCGAAATATAATATTAAGTGAATTTAGAAAGCCTTGATCAGGATTTGAGAACCTCTGCTAGAGATTCCATGTCTTCGGGAGATACAGCCTGTCATTCACGTTCAGTGGCTTTCTGTGTATGTGAACAACAAGCATAGGCACTAATTAGGATGTCACGACAGGTGAAAGAAAGTCATTTGCCAGTGAAAGCTGGTAGCTTGATTCCGATGACTGCGTGAAATTGGGGTTGAGATGAACGGCGTTTTCGGAATCATGAAGTTTGTGCGTTTCACACATGAATAAGTTCAAGATGAACCTTTGAGGTCATGAAACTCTGGAACTTCATGAAGTGTGATCTTCAGTAAAGTTTTTCACGTAGTAGACCAAGAAACTAAAGTTAATTTAAAAACTACCATTTCTTGAGCGTTGAAGCTAAAACTGTTTAGGGCCTGAACACTCACTACGAGAAGTAACTGCTTGGTATCAGTCATCTCCTCACATGGCATGTGAAGTGTAGGTCCGCAACACAGGGCTGGCAGTTCATCTCTCACAATGTATCGCACGCCATACACTGCAAGAGTGAACGCTGAATAACGGTCTATACCAGACTGGTATCTAAGCCACTTTTCAAACCATTAGCTGCTATCCCACATCGGTCAACATGATGATATTTAAATCACACTCATTCAGGGATCTATTAATTGCGACGCATAGATCAGGGTAGTTGAGTGCGGAGTTACCGTCGGGGCACTTCAACTGACGGTAAGTTACCGCTGAAGCCGCCAAACCCTGCCTAGATTTTTCACCAGTACCGGTATTATGCGCCACAAACGCTGCCAAGAGCACAAACTGGCTCTCAAACACCATGTCGAGGTAAGGGTGAAGTAACGCCTCCATCAGCAACCAACCATATTTACTCAGTCGCTATTAAGTCGGCTTCTATAATCTGGACCAACCCCCCGTAGGCGTTGGTGCAGTGGAGAACCATGTCATTCAAAATCACGCACGACCTTCGCAGCATATTACTTAGCCCCATTACTAGAAAGCTCAGCATTCACAATTTCGGTCGCCCGCTCCTGTTTAGCCACAGTCTTCCACTGAGCCATACGTCTGAGTGGCAACTGAGAATGGATGTGCAAATTCTTATCATTTGCCGTGTGTATATTTATGGGACCAACCGTCTTCTTTGCAAGCCGTCAAACTGTCTATTACAAGACACCTGAAATGGGTAAACTTATTTTCATCCGGAATCCTCACCGATCCAGACCTGAGTAATGTGCTTGAAGTTTCTGTGCATAAGTCTTTGAAGTCTTCAAGTTCCAACTTATCACACTGCAGTCGTTGCAAGAAGCTTTTATCCTGACATTCGCCTTGTCAGATGGTTTCCTGCCAGAGACTGTTGTTGCGCTACCGTTATCCTCTCCTTCTTTGTACCAACCAACATAAGCTAAAGCATCTCTGTACATTTGCACGTACCAATAAGATCAGGGTCAGCTAGTCATGTTCTTACTTGGGGGTTCGCATTCTTCAATGGATGAGTTGCCGAGGTTTTTGCTCCCACTTTAACTGGCTGTGGAGCTCTACATCACTGGAGCAGATTTTTCTAAACCGGTAACTGCACTCGATATTCTTTACTACCGGTGGATCGATCTCTTACATTAGGTCCTTACTCAAACGATGAGCAACGCCGTCATCCATTACCCTACTTTTGCCGTCATAAAACTCGGAAACTGTGACGTATCTAGAAACATTAAATAGGAGTCTTCTGAAGACCACGCATCCACCTTCCTTTGTTTTAGTACGGCCACTGACCCAGTCAAAAAGATACAGTCGTGGGGACTAGGTCACACTAGCGTTTAAAAGCCACTGGCTCAAGCCCGACAAAAACTCTGAGTACAGTTATCATTCTATATAGCACACTCTACAAAGAGATATCTCGACTAGATAGTCCCCAATGGTATTTCTACTGACCGTTTTGCACTTTAGAATTTGTTGGTACTGAGAAAAGCCATTTCTTAAGTGGTTTCTGGTCTCCAATCTCTTTGGATCAACTTAAAGGAAATAAGAGAATTTAAATGGCTTTAGATACATAGCGTTAATCGTAAAACGAACTATCCACTGCAAGAGAAAACTGAAGAGTAAGAGCCAAGCCCCAAGAACTAGACGTGAGGGATCAAAAACTGTGAGATACCTCGGCTCTCATTATTGATTTCGATGTTGAATGCTACTTTGTACGTATGGTTTAACTGCAGTCCTGGGTAGGTAGAGCTTAAGAAACTTGGATTTCATGTTTGTGAAATGCTATAAACTTGAAAGTTTTAAACACTGATCTGTTCCAGTAGTTCGAATAGTGATGAGAACTATTTACCTCTCATTTCTAGGATTTCTGCACACGAACATCTCTCGTTTGGAATACCCACTCTGCCAAAATCAAACTTTTGCAACACTCCTGTAGCCTCATGTACTCGACTGTTCTCTATCTGCAAACACACTTCCCAAGAGGAGAAGACCAGAATAATTAATCCTTCGAACTGGCCAATCTACATCCTATCAGTGACTCTGGGTTGTTTTAACTGCCCGGCTGCCTTGGCTTTCTATTCTTTTCGGAGGTCGTTCCGAAAGAAAAATCTTTCCTGGTTCTAAGTACGCATCCGGAGCTCACGGTCAAACCAGACCTCCCAACGAAGTGGCCCACGCATTATTCTAGAGCACCAACCCTACCAAACAAGTGACACAGACTAGCCCTAGCGTGTCACAAGGTAGTCCTACTCCTGGCGAGGACCAGACCGTGCCTGGAAAAAAGAAGTGACGTGTCAGGCTCAGGAATAGGGCGGTCACAAGTGGCCCACCACAATTTGCAGCACTGTTTTCAAGGAAAGAAGGCAGCAGAGTTCGGAGTGAAGTCATGTCGGTAGTCGATGGGGCATTCGCACTCAACTTGTGTCACCGATGCGCACATTGCAGTGTGACAGCAAAGTACCCCGGCAGTACTACAAGCCAGTTAAGCGGCAACCGTACACTGGTCCAAAGTGCAAGAAGCTCTCTGCGCTGCATATGGAAGGAATTAAAGGGATACTATGCACTAGAAAAAGCCATCAACATCCCCGAACAAGGTGGGTTTAACGCCAAAGAATAACACGGAGGAACCCGAAACAAAAGCGGAACTTTTGCTGTTCACACATCACCATGCAAGAAGACGAAATTAGGTCAAATTTCGGTATCTCCTACCCGGCCGCAGTGAACGTCAAGGGCATGGACAAAGACACCGTCCAATAGACTGACGACGAGATACTCTCCTAACATCCTAGGCACTGCGACTGAGAAATAACCAATAGAAATGCATACCAGGCCCTCTGGGATGCTGAGCATGTCATCCACGACGGACGCGAGCCACAGGAAGGCCAACTCAGAGGGTTATAGCTGAAAGAGGGTTTACCTCATTATGGCCTACAAGATCATTCATCAGGCATACCATGCAAACAAATTGGCCTTCCCTACAACACAGTGGCTATCACAAGGAAAACCCATTAGAATAACACATCGGAGAGCTAACATCACGCTCAGGTCCAACTTTTTCTCCTTGAGAGCATGTGCTTTATGGAATGCCCTACCGTAGGATATTGTCATAGCCCCTCAAGTAAACTCACTTTGAAAGACGGTAAGACAGTCATGTCACCTCGCATGGTTTACCGCGGACGTACTCAGAGAGTCAGTAACCCAACTAGCCCACCATCACTTCCCTTCTGCTGCCACTCACTATCTCTCTTCTTAATAAACATACGTTATCCACTAACTCTTCTCTGACAACTAGAGGTATGCTATCCACTATTACCACTGGGGTAATTTGCACTTAGTTTCTTCCTTACTGTTCCCATTCATACACCTCCACAGACAGGAGTCACGACAGATCCGCAATCGTCCCAGCAACCTGTAGCTCCTCAATCACTACAAATTGCAATTTACCGACCCACAAAACACACCTCACCGAAGCTAAAAGCAAGAAGTCAGAAGAGACCTCATTGCTCACTGCAGGACTAACCTGAACAATTGGAACCGAGAACTAAGAACTAGACACAAGAGATCGAAAACTATCAGTTTTCCATGCTCTCAATATCAATATTGGATGCTGAATGGTTTGGCGTGTATTTAAGCCTGTCGTTGTGTCATGTGGTTCAGTCATTGGTAAGTTGTCTTTCAAAGTATGTAGTGCAACGCTTTAGTTTTCCAGTTTCTTGAACTTTCTGACGGTTAAATTTCTAAAAGAACTGCTGAAGATTGGTATACTAACCATATTTCCTTCAAACAATGGGCCAGCTACACAAGTTAGACAACAGGATACAGATTATGCTTAAAAATGGCATTATGCAGCGACATAGGTCAATGTTTGTTATGGTCGGAAACAAGGGACAGGATCAAGTAAGTTTTATTTCGCTTTTAGGGGAGCAAGCTTCGTTTCAATATGTAGGTCCCAATCATGCATCAGATATTGAATTCCTTGTCAAATAAAGGTAGACTTAGTCTATTATGGTGCTACAAAAAAGAGCTAAGCTTCAGCACGTAAGCCACTTTTCTCAATATGATGGTTTTAGTCATCGCAAGAAAAACCTGAAACTATTGAAGTACGTTGACTGCAGATACTTTTGACACTTTTCTTCAGTAAGAGGCGGAAAGCAGGTTTGACGTCAGACGCCACAATTTTCGAGCAGTTCGTTTGCTCGACGGATATACGTTGGTGCTATTACGACGAGTCTCAAAAGATCCTTGGACAAACTTTCGATATGTGTGTGTTGCAAGATTTTGAGGCCCTTACGCCAAACATTCTTGCCCGTACCATTGAAACTGTATCCGGTGGAGGATTAGTAATTCTTCTATTGAAAACAATGGACTCATTAAACCAGTTGTGTACAATGGTTATGGTAAGATGTTTCATACCTAAATAATTCTTAAGGATGTTCATTCTCGTTACCGTACGGAATCCCAACATAATGTCGTTGGTCGTTTTAACGAGAGGTTTCTGTTATCGTTAGCCAGCAACTCCCGATGCCTTGTGTTAGATGATCGCTGGAATGTTCTTCCGTTATCACGAAAAGTACTAAATTCCCTTGAACCTCTGCCGGCTGAAACAAATGAATCCGCCTCAACGGAACAGAAGGAGCTACAAAAGCTTAAGGTATTGTCATCAAGTTATGGTAAATTACCATAACATTATAAGCAATTTTGTCTTGTTATTTCATCGATAGTCTATCACAGTTGATATCTAGTTTTATAAACTATCTATTTGCGCAGTAGTTAGAGAAACGAAGCCGCGCTTATGCACAGATTACTTTCATTGTCAATAAATCCACTTATTTTGGTATGATTCTCAGTGTTTTCACTCACCCTAAGTCTGTATGCACTTGTGACTGAATCACCTTCAAAGTCAGCATGGGGACAATTATATTTGTACAACTCATCTGTCACCGAGAGGTTCAGTCCTTTTATGCTTTCGCCATACGTAGAAGCGTAACCATCCACTTCAATGACTTAGTGCACTCAAGTACTGTGAATTGGATTTCTGTTCAAAGTAGATTATTTTCATAACAGTCCAGTTTCCAAGTATAAAACGTGCGTCGGACACCAAATACTTCTCTTCTACGTATGCAAGTGACTGCATTCTGTCAACAAGTTCGCCTAATATGAATATCTCATTGTGTGCTGATGACCGATGTGCTTTAAGTTTCAAGCAACAAGCTTTCCAGAAAACATGTTTTCGAAGAATCTTGGTTTGGTAGTCAGTGTTTCACCAGGTTCCTGCAACTGCGAAAATACCGTGTACATGTGTGTGTAACCTAGTCTTATCACTGGTCCATAGTCATTTAAGGTTTATCAGTGATTGTCCTACTTTCAGAGGACTGATAGCACCTAGTGACCATCACATCCAAACCACGACAAACCAAAGGTAGCTAGTTATTCTGTATTTAAAATCATGGTTCCCAGAAAAAATGTTGAGTTGTAAAAGCCTGAAATATAGAAATCCCAGGTTTTATGGGTTACCGAATATACACGGAGCTACTCTGCTTCTTCACTTGGTTTAAAAAGTATTTCGATCTCCCTACAAACTTCAAAAGATAGTTACCGAATATTTTGGAACTTATAAGAAAGTTAATACCTATACTCTTCTCAGCATCTTGTAAATCACTAGCTGCGCAAAACGTCTGAATTTTTTGTCGGATATTTGCTACCACTTAACGTGGAGATAGTTTGCTAGTATCCGTATTACCGAGAAATTCGTTTATTGTGCAATAAAATGGAATACAATAACTTAAATATTGAAGATCGAACTGCCTGCTGAGAAGATTACTACTAGAATTTACTCCTAATAGATAATTCATTTTCCGCGGCACAAAGCAGTAGAGAAGCATGTAGCTGTAGGATTCCTTTGGAAGAAGAAGACATAACAACACAAAGCCTTCCATATAAATGCATCATTCCCAGTTCCTGCCCTTCACCACTACATAAAAACGATAGACAGAAGTTGAAGGAACCACATGGACCTACTCTTAGGCTCTGTGGTTTTCCGGATATGGCTAATTCACTCAATCATTCAGCTATAAAACTCAACTTCTCCTTTGGTTTGGGCGACCGAATAATATCACGGATTCCCACAATGCAGTTCGTAGCTCAGTAGATAACTATGAACCGCAACTAGTCGTTTGTATAGTTATTATATTATTTATCCCTTGGGTTTCTAGTGGAACATAGGGCTTCAGTAGCACGTCTCCATTCCACTCTGTTCTATGCAGTCTCTTAAACCTGGCTCCACGACTGCCCAGAAGCTCTCATTTATTCCTCACACCATCTCCTCCATGTCACCTCCACCTTGGACGCCCAACTCGCCGCTTCCCATCTCGGTTCCACTCGAGTGCCTGGCGCGTGATGTCCCCGAACGGTCTTCTCAGCGTATGCCCAATCCATCTCCACTTCCTTCTGCATATTTGTTGAGCGATAGGTTCTTGGTTGGTTCGTTGCCATAGTTCCTTGTTGCTTATTCTTCCTGGTCATCTGAGCTTCAGTAACGAGCGTAGGCGGCAGTTTTTGATGAGGTATGCCTGTAGTTTGTTGGAAATGCTTTTCATAACGCGCCAAGTCCCTGAACCATATAGAAGCACTGACTTGACTGATATAAATGTTGGAAATTTGGATCTTGTTCACGCTTTATGCTGAGTGGAGTGCAGTAGATCTACACAGTGATTCCAGGTTAATGAAGGCCTGTCTTTCTGATCCTGGCTTTGATGTCCTCGTCTGTGCCACCTGTAGTTGAAACGATGCTGCCCAGATAGGTGAAAGAGGCTACTCCCTTTAGGTTTCTCCTGTTCATGGTGATTGGAAGTTTTTGTTGTTGTTGGTCGGGTATCATCATCACCTCTGTCTTCTCTATGTTCACTTGAAGTCCCGTCTTCACTGCCTCTTCTGTCAACTTGTTGGTTTTCGCTTGCAGATCTCCGAGTGTGTGCGACATTAGACAAAAGTCATCGGCGAAATCCAAATCTTCTAGGTTCTTTTCCCCGGTCCAGCCAGCGTATCCCCCTCATCTCACCCCTCACTGTTTGCTGCATAATCCAGTCCACCACAATCAAGAAGATCACCGGTAACAGTAGACAGCCTTGTTTTACTCCTGTCTTCACTTCACTGCAAAAGCATCACTGAGCGTACCATTATGAATCACTTGGCACTTCTTTGTCCAGTGTAGTGTTTTATAGGTTGTACTCAGTTCCTCTTTTCGTTGTTCGTCCCTGCACTGCACTTCATTGGTTCATCTCCTACTTCACCATCTCTCTGCTCCGTCAGCTTCAGTGTGTCCGTCGAGATCCACCCTATATCCTGTTTTTTTCTTCCTTCCTAATACGGTTATGCAGGTTTCTTTCCACATCTCTTTCAAAGAGTTCCAGTGTTGTTCCAAGCCCGATTCTTCAGGGATGTTGCTTAGTGTCGCCCATTTTGTTCTGATGGCTGACGTGAAGATGTCCTTTATAGTTTCGTCCTTCAGTTTCCGAGTGTTGTACTCGAACTGCGGTCTATCACCAACTTATCTGAAGGCTTTCAACTTGATTTGGAAGGTTCCTTGAAATAAGTAGGGAGTGGTGTGAACCTACATTTACTCCTCTTCTTCATATTGTGTCCAGTAGGCTGCGTCTCCACTTTCTTCACATTGAGATGAAGTCGATCTGAGTTTTAGTGTCTTCCTCTGGTGAAATCCATGTCGCTTTGTGAATATCCTTGCGTTTGTACACACTACCTTCAATCACCAAATCGTTGAATGCGCAGAAATCCCCAAACAGTTCTCCATTCTCATTCATTTCACCGAGCGCTTCTCGACCGGTGATAAGTTCTCTTCCTGTGTTGTCCTCCCAGTTTGGCATTCATGTCACCCCACCCATTAGAATTTTGATGTTGACAACTGGAATCTTGTCCAGTAGTGATTGTAGTTGTCTGTATAATTCGTCCTTCTTCTCTTGCTCTACATTATTTGTAGGTGCGTAGTGTAGCATTGTATGGTTGTGACCTTCCTTCCTTTTGAGCTGAACCTTGCTGTCATGAACCTGATCCTGCAGGAGGAGATTGGTTCCCACTGCATGAGGGCCTTCGATGCTGTTGGGGACGTCATGATAACCCCTCGAGAACTCAGTGTACTCGTGGTTGTCGTCTGAGTGACAATATCGGAGTAAATTATTGACTCTCAGTTAATTTTGGAGAGTCCACTTTCATTCCATCTGCTTTCGCAGATTCCAAGCACTTCCATGCTATGCCCTCTCATCTCTTTTGCAATCTGGGCAGCCTTGCTAGGTTCATACATGGTACGGTATACTCCATGTCCCCAATCTCACTTTCGCTTTCATCGAGAGAAGCGAAAACAAATCGGCCGGGCGGCTACCCGAAGACTTTCAGCAACCGGCGTCACCTCGTCTCCCCAATTCCAGAGGGGAATACATTTGTTTTTACTTTTTATAGTTTCTTTGTGCTTTGAATTTTCTTCGGCAACTGCACTGGCCTTACGGGGGCAGGGTTGCTAGCGCCATGGCCAACCTACCGCTTTTATCTGGGCTTAGGACCGTCTAGTAACTAGTGAACCAGGCGAGTTTGTTCGCACAATGGATGTGGCTCGATTTCTTATAGTACATAATCGATGAAAAAGATTTCTAGGTCATAATAGCGTAAAAATACTTGAACTGTTATCGACGAGAACTAACCGAAATAAATGCTACGTGGAAATAATCAAGTTTGTATAAAAAGTTGGGTTTAATGAACGTTACAAAATATCTGAGTGAAATGTTATTAGAAAGAGAATAGAAATAGATGAAAAATAATACATGGAGATAAAATGTTAGAAATTTGCCACAAAGCCTAAGATTCAGACAATTGGATGAAAAGGGGTTGAACAAGTCTTTAACATACAAAGTTCTGGATTCCACAGGTAGACGACTGCAGTTGCAACAATCAGGTGAAGGGATATGGCTTCTAACAAGTTCACTAGTTTCAAGGATCTCGTGAACGACGAGTGAAGCTTTGATGAAGTGTACCATTGTCGGATTTCTGACGGTTTTAGTCCCATGTCTTAGGAACCCTGACATAACGATGAACTTTATGGGACAGTGCACTAAATGACTGATATAACTAAATGTAAAACGAGAAGTGAAACCACCATAAAAAGAAATGATTCGATAATGAGTTTGGAAAACACCATGCTTAGCAATGATATGATGAATTTTTTACTTGAGTTTAGAATGCTTTTCTTTAAGATTTACCACCACCTAGATTAAATTAAAACCTCGGATCAAAATGCAAAGGTTTGTTTAATAAACTCGCAGCCGTCTTTGACGAATAAGTCTCACGCTTTTCAAACAAAAATTACGATAGACATTTACATTTAGTCATGACCCTAGGAATATTTTTCTTCTCGAACCTCAAGACTGCAAATATATCGCATGCGTGTGGTGAAGGATACTTCTGAACATTTCAAAGTTCATAAACTGGTCACTCTAGGTAGGCCTTCTGTTCCTTAACCTCAAGTTTCAACCAATCTTAACAGACAGTTCAGCATAATGGATAAGAAATCTAAACCTACTTTTTATCTACTGAGAGAGGTCAGTAACCAGGTAACGAATACTGAGTATTTATTGTGCAAGACAAGCCTTCATTAACCTGGAATCACTGTGTAGATCTACTGCACTCCACTCAGCATAAAGCGTGAACAAGATCCAAATTTCCAACATTTATATCAGTCAAGTCAGTGCTTCTATATGGTTCAGGGACTTGGCGCGTTATGAAAAGCATTTCCAACAAACTACAGGCATACCTCATCAAAAACTGCCGCCTACGCTCGTTACTGAAGCTCAGATGACCAGGAAGAATAAGCAACAAGGAACTATGGCAACGAACCAACCAAGAACCTATCGCTCAACAAATATGCAGAAGGAAGTGGAGATGGATTGGGCATACGCTGAGAAGACCGTTCGGGGACATCACGCGCCAGGCACTCGAGTGGAACCGAGATGGGAAGCGGCGAGTTGGGCGTCCAAGGTGGAGGTGACATGGAGGAGATGGTGTGAGGAATAAATGAGAGCTTCTGGGCAGTCGTGGAGCCAGGTTTAAGAGACTGCATAGAACAGAGTGGAATGGAGACGTGCTACTGAAGCCCTATGTTCCACTAGAAACCCAAGGGATAAATAATAATAATCATTGTGTGTGTGCTACGTGACTATCTGGGCTTCACTAGATAGGGCAGTCTTCGAACTCAAAATCACATGGTTGAAGTTATAGTCTGTTAACTCCGCATGACGAATGTACACTATTAAAATTTACATACTTTCGTTGCATATCTTTGTGAGCTGCATTCACCTGAATAAACTCATCTGAGATTCGTATAGTCAAAAAATTATCTGGTTTTCTTGTTACAGTAATTAGTAGTTCTGTGTTTAATAATTAATGTTATCAGTTTGACTATCTGAGATAGCCGTGATTTGGCAGATTTGTATTATTGATATTGATTGATTGAAGGTAAGATGAAAATCGGGGTCACGGACGCCCATGATTTCAGTCAATAACTCGTATATAAATTTGTACACTTACATTCGAGGTGGTTTAACGTCAGACAACGTACAATCTACCTTCACCAAACGGTGAGGGTAACAAGTTCAGTCTGCCAACTCATTAATTCGACTCTTCAGACAACAGAGGCAGTCAGAGGTAAGTTAAAAACTGCACGAAATACATGAGTTATTCATAAGTAATTTATCCAATAAAATAAAGGGATATTGAAAAGAGGTCCAACTGAGCTACCTGTTCTTTTTTGAAGACCATGTTAATGCAATTTTGCAAGTTAATAAACTTTTTCGTTGAGCGTGTGGGGAAAAAGAAGGCTAATGAGATGGATTATTTGTGTGAAAAGTTGTTTCTGGGGTTATGCTTCCATAAATTTTGCCGAATATAACGATGGATTTAATTTTTTCTCAAAGCCATGTTTGTTACATTTGTTTTAGCTATTTGAACAGTCATGAATAATGATGTATTTTTCACTTTTGAAACATTCTAAAAAATCATATTATTCATTGTTTGACAGATCTCCTTAGCTGAAGATGGATCGCCATTTGCTCCTTTAATCAAGTTGTGTATCACATTTGATCAAGCCAAAAGTCTTGTCCAATTTTGTGCCTCCCTAGCTTCAAATCCACAGTCAGAAAATAAGAGCGGAACTAAAAGTCTTCCAAACTGCTTACCTTCGAATGTAGCACATTCCCTTCTTGAATCGATAGGTGCTACAAATAAAGATGTTGGCTCTTCATCAGCTCTTGTTGTTGTAACCTCTGGAAGAGGTCGTGGAAAATCAGCTGCTCTGGGACTGGGATTAGCTGCGGCTTTCGAAACTGGTTTACCCAACTTGTACGTTACAGCACCCAGTCCAGAAAATTTAAGCACACTCATGCAGTTTGTCGTAAATGGCCTAAATGCCTTTCAATACGAAGAGCATCAGGATTATACTGTTAGTCGCTCGATGAATCCTGAACACAATCAAGCTGTAGTTAGAATTGACGTTTACAGACAAAATCACAGACAGTCACTTATTTATTTACCCCCATGGGAGTTAGCTGCTCTTTCCAGCATAAGACAAGCTGATCTTGTATGTATAGATGAGGCCGCTGCTATTCCTTTGCCTATCGTTCAGTCACTTATCAGTGGTCCAAGATTTGTTTTCATGGCATCAACTGTAAATGGTTACGAAGGCACTGGTCGCTCTTTGTCGTTTAAACTACTCCGTCAACTGCGGTGTCAGTGCACTTTATCAGGAACTACAGCCCAGTTGTCAGCAAGCCATGAAGGTTCTCAGTCTTTGGAGAAGCAACAAAAGTTACTGGGAAGAGGTTTCCGGTCAGGTAAGCTTTTGGAAATATGTATGTAAAAGTAAATTATTACCTATAATCTACGATTGCGAGTAACTTCCATTGTCATAATTGTCGAAAAACAATACAATAGTTGATGGAAATATATTGGCCAATTTAATCGGAAACACCAGTATATGACTATGCACGACTATGGATCTCAAACTTTTGTATTCTGCAGGAAGCTTAACGAAATGTAGCCGACATTAAAAGGACTGAAGTTACTAAAATTCTGATTAGAAAGTAAGCAGTAGTGAAGAAAGAAAATAAAACCAAAGGATGCAGGTTAATATAGAGTAATAAAAATATGCGTTAATTATAGCATGGTCGATGTTTAGTCATATAATTTACCAGGGATCCTAATTGCCACTCGCTTAGTGTGTAAGCGTCGCAGTTTTGTTCGGTACTGGAAAATGCTAGAGATTTATAGTGTGAATGGGTGAAATGTAGACCAAGTTAGCTGAAAAGTATTCTACAGCAAAAGTTCATCTGCTTTAAACGTAACATATTCTACTTGTCTCATCAAATTGTAATTTTCATAAAAAATTTTTATTATCTAGTGCCAAAGTTGACAGTTACGGAATAGGTAAAAACGTCTTAAGGTTTTCTTCAGATTCTTATCCCGATTGCAATTATGGCTCGGAATCGAAACCAGTTGCGACCATGTTGACTCTTGTTTTTCCTACCACGGAAGAGTAGAACAAAAGCAGTGAATGCTCCTAATTTTTCTCTCTCCTTCCATCCAAATCACTTTAATGTCTTAATGTTATGTTGTTTTGTATAACACACTCCGTGGTGTCCCTTCGTACCAAGCTTACGTTTTTAATCGATATCCTGGGGTATGGATTAACCGAAATATTAAAAAAACACAGGTGATTAGTGGTTTTCACATGATTAGAGCAGGCACTTAGAAATAGGTTGTGTTTCACATACGATAGCAACCACGTTGTGATCTTCAGACAGAAACTCGGACTAATGAGCCTATGAATCTGTCTGAAAATGGTCCATATTTTACATCCAGTGATTTCATTCAGTTTGGGTTTTTTGTCTGAAAACTGCTTGGCTTTATTAATTAACGAACACGTAGTTTTCCATTTATCATATAACTTCTGTTCGCGATGACTACTTGGGCTATAGAGAAACTGCGCCTTATTTTACAAAATAATATAGTGATTTATAAAACTTGATCAGTTCATAGGATAGACTGAATCTCATCAAGATTTACTTGTCTTCTCAACACTTTTTGAAGTAATGAAGACGATTTAAGTGATCATGGTCGACTGATAGTGTGAGGTAAGTGAAAAGTTTTTGAAATGCATCTCTGCACATTGGCACAAGTGATGAAGATTATACTACATATTGTCAGTTTTCAAAATGTCTTCAGCTGACTTTTGGACACTAAGTGGGATACTATACTATGAGGTTTACGCATTTCTTTCTTGGATAAAGATGCCCATCTTTTGTAAATAATTACAAGAACTTTCAGTGTTCTTTTTAAAAGCATTCTTTCAAAATAAGCCGTATTACTCACATTCAACTCAGCTGAAAGCTGTTTTTTTGCTCCAGGTATCTGACTCATGGATCACGGGTTCAAGCTCGATACTGAGTTAGTTCTAGACGACGAGGTAGTATCATTAGTCCTCATGCAATGGGTGTAGCTCATTGCCCAGTGCACGAACTTACACATTATATATATATATATATATATATATATATATATATATATATATATATATATATATATATATATATATATAATATTTGCTGATTAGAATAACTGAGGGATCATCTTGTGTACAGAAGTCAAGGATAGTCCCATCTACCTGGCATAGATCAATGACTCCTCTAGTTTACAAGGATGATTTTTCTTGTGATAACCGTTAAGTAGACAATTTGTCTAACACTAAGGTCACTGGCTTCATGTTCATTCAGCAACCAAGTGGAGCTTGAGAAAGTCAGACAAGCACTAAGTCTAGATAAGGGTTCATTTATCAAATCTTCACCATTCGACAGGTTTTAAAACCACATAAAATAATTGACCTAAAGGTAGCATTAAACTCTATGCATCTTGAAGTTTCATAGCTGTTTCTGATTGCAGAGAATGTCACGCAAGTACATTATGCCAATTAGTATTCTATATTCAAATTCACTTCACTGCATTACGGACGAACAAATCAAAGTATTGCATTACTGTATTAAAAACTTATGAACTGTCATCTGATGTGACCACAACCACCAAGGATATCCAATACTATCATTAATTAACTTTGCCAGGAATGTACTACGAAAACCTTTGACTTTTCATGGATTGGTTTGCTTGATTTACATTACGCAGGTGATATTGTACTTTTAGTTGCAGTTACTGAGTAAATACAATGTCTTCTGGAAGTTACGAGCAACAATCTGGGTATGATTGGCATGTGTTTAACGCCTGTTAAATATGATAAGATACTTCACGACTGGTTCACCATGACTCCTAGTTTAAGGATGGAAAGTGAAGTGGTGGAATGCATTGAACACTTACATGACAGTGAACACTAGCTGTGATAGACTGATTACCAGTGAAATCTGGACATGTATTCAAAAGTCCCGTTTGACATTTGTCACCTTGTGCCTTCTCTAACAGTGTCTAGATATCCGATCACATATTGAAAACGGTGTGTCCAGTCCACACTTTCCTACTGTATAGCCATAAGACATTGACAGTAAAATAACATGGAGTTTAAAGCTTTCTGATCATGTGTCTCTGCCGTTTTTCTCACGTGTTGTAGATTCACTGTAAGAAATATTGCGGTCAAGTGTAGAGCACCAGACATAGGAGGTAGGTGATTTTATGTCATTGTGGAAATGCACCGACTTAATTGGTTGGAGCACGTGTTACGCAGCTTGATCTACTACCTTAATCGATGCACGATGATAATTGAAATAGAATTAATTTGAAAGAAAGCTAAGAGTGACCAAACCAAGCCATAGCACCAATCTACGAATACTCTCTTTGTTGGTCCGAAATGTATAGAAATACTACCCGGGTTAGTGTCTTCGAGATAATGAGAATCAATAGTTGGAGATTACTGATATTGAAATTAATCACAATAGAGCAAACGTATTCACTTCTAATCCCTCAAAAATAATGAACTCTTGCTAACCTTTAGTTACTGATCGTATCCATTTTCATACACTTTGTGCTTTAATATCGTTTTTTAATCTCTTTCTTATCTGTATGTTGTTTAGAAGTGTGGCAAATTAAGTTATACGTTGATTTTTTTTGTCTATGGGTCACTGAATGGATCTTCATCTTTTCAAAGCACCTTTCACTGGAGATTACTTTTCTTTCGATATCGTTGTACAAAAAGCAAATAATGTAGTCAAAACTTGCAATCTAGTTCGGTTATATTTCTCAGCAAACTTCTCGATTGTTTCTATACTATTTGTCAGAGGCTTAAGGTTTAAGGACGGGTTGCCTAACTGTTTATTCCCATGATCCTAGTATTGAGGTGACGGAAACTATTTATGACTTTCTACACTTTTTAGTTTTTGTGTTGTATGTACAGATTTTTCATTGAGATCTTGTGCAATTCAAAGTGATTTTTAGTTTGTAATGACGTTCGGCATTTATGAATGTCTTATTTCATGACTAAGGATATACAGCATTCTGTTTAAATTCGCACTTTAAGGCAACACATCTGTCAAGTAAATTAGATTTCTAATGCTTTTTAACGGCAAAATAAACATTGTGCTATTGTTTAACTCTATAGGTTGCTCCGTCTGAAATAATTGAGATTTGTTGACAAATATTACAGTGGTATTTTAGTTTCTTTGGAAATAACAAATTTTAACTGAAATAGTCTACTTGGTACTTACTTCTGTATTCATTTACTAAAATAACTTATCGAAAATAATATTCTGATTACACCTTCATTAATTCTGCTTCTGGAGGTTAGTAGGGTGGAAAATGGTGTGATTGGAATTTTGACAAGAAATGTTTTAAGAAACAACTCGCCATATCGACATTGTAGCGATGGGAAGAAGTTCCTGGTTAACTATGTACCTCTGTAATTAGAGACAAAAAGTATTGAGTTATGGATTTCATGTAACTTAGAAACTTCCATCATAGTCTGCATGTGCTAATACTAAGTGATTTTTAGTCTTTGAAGAGATTCAGCTGAAAAACCCAAAGATGAATAAGTCTATTCTTAAAGGTTTTAAATCTAGTCTTTGGAATAGCTCTTGGTTTGTGTCAGTTAGAGTCATGACGTAGCTTCGTTTATCTAGCAGCTTAAAGATTTCTGTCTACAAAGTTGGACGGCATTTAGATTGGGAAGTACCCAGATGTTTAACCAGTTAAACATTAGTGTGTAGTTCTAATTTAACTTTCGTAATACGAAGCAGTCACTAACATAAAAATCTAGTTTCATGTTTGTGAAGCCTGTTTCTATAATTCTTAAATTTTCATGTATTGGTTGACCTATGTTCATCAATTTAGTTATTCTTTCTATCCATCATGATGAGTGGTTAATTGAAATTGCGTATCATAGCAGCACGCACAGCGACAAGTTTTTTTTCAAACGCATATTCCATGCAAATCAAACCGTTGAACAAAAGATTTGGCGAAAGTGTGTATTGTGGTTTATCATGGAATATTGGCTGCTGAATGGTATATTTGGGATATGTTTGTTGTAATTTTTTGTCTTACCTAATGATCATATCCTTTGATTACTTTCACTCACAACATCTCTAAACTGTGATAATGTTGGTCTTTTGTTTCCTAGTGGATACCTCGCGGGTTTTGTATGAAGTAAGTCTTTCAGAAGCTATCCGATACGCCAACGGAGATCCGATTGAAACCTGGTTATTTGATCTGTTGTGTTTGGATTGTGGTGAATCGCTAACTTGTGATCAACGAACTAATGCAGCTGATATTTATCTTCCTCCTGTCGATCAGTGTCAATTGTACTACGTCAACAGGGATACTTTGTTCGCTTATCATAAATCAACAGAAATATTTTTACATCGACTTATGGCTCTATATGTCTCTTCACATTATAAGAATTCTCCCAACGACCTTCAACTTCTTTCTGATGCACCGGCGCACCATATTTTTTGTCTTCTGGCTCCTTATGATCCTAAATCTGGTTGTGTACCTGAAATTCTCTGCGTACTTCAAGTTTCTTTAGAAGGAAAAATAAACAAGGATCGAGTAATGCATAGTCTCTCTCGTGGTTTACGTCCATCCGGTGATTTAATCCCTTGGACATTAAGTCAACAGGTATACTACTATAAAAGATGAGGAGAGAGTTTTCTTCAAAATCTAAGTGTCAACTTTTGTAGTTTACATTACCAGTACAACCAACGGTTTGTCTCTTTCTCTTGATTGGTACATGATTTAGATGTAGTTTCTTTACTATCATTGTGTAAATTTTTTTGATGTAAATCTACTTGATTAATGAGAGAAAAAAAGTTTTATTTGAATAAAACTGTAAAATAACTCAACTTCAACTTAAAGTGGATCATGTTAACTGAAACAATTACTGTTGTACCAGAGTAATTATTCGTATTGTTTATATATAAATAGCCAAGTTGAACACTTCAACTTTCTTTCTTTATGTTAGAGTTATGTAGAGAAGGAAGTTTAACTTGATAGTGTTTTCTTCTCCATCCATTCACTTATCAAGAGTTATATTCAACTACTGTACGTGCCCCATTTAGGTAACATTATTTTCATTTTTGTTGTGAAGATAGATTCACATCTCAGTAAATGGTATTAAAATCCACCTACATAACTAAGAAGATTTAAGTTAATAGTAGTGACTAGTGCACTTTTATTTTTGAAACACTTTTATGAAGTAGAACTTAACTTATCGAGTAAAGTATCGACTGCTTAAAAACGAATATGAAAACACCGCATGAAGTAGCTAATAGAGAATTTGAGAAGTATTATGTTTTCTGGTGTCCGGCAAATTACAGACTGATCCTTATCCGGATTTCGCTTTTCTTTCTCGAAAAGTAGCTTAAGTATATTGTTAATATATAATTAGGTAAGAAAGACAATATAGTTCATGAGGTTGTAAATCCTCACTGACTGGGGTTTCCTAGGTATGTGGTGTGCGTGCTAAGCCATCACCTATCTCAACATGCAATGTTATCCAAAGTAGAATTGAGCTCGAAAAAAATGTTCACTAATCCATGAAGTCTCTGATTGTTGGTCTGAGCCGTGTAGAAATATTTAGGCTATCTGATTGGGATTGTCGATCCGATCGGAATTAATGGTCGAATACTGGTATATAGTTAAGTACACTGACGTGTAAATATTTAGTTTCTGTGTTCTTTGAAGTCTTGACTATTTTCATGGACCTACATCTAATTATCGTCTGTTTTTTCATGCACCTTTGGCAACTTCAATATTATTCTTTTTCTCTTGACTTCTTCCTTGGATACTGCTGTATAGTATGAGAACTTGAAGTGATTTACTTCTGTGTCAGGTTCTACATTGATCTGTCTGTCTTTTAACCCAAGATTTAATTAATATTGACAACAGGAACTTAGTCATATCAACGATTTCAGGAGAAACATGTATATATTTCTTTGGGTTTCTCATCATCTGATTGAATAACCAGTCTTTTTTTCATCTTTTTTTCAAACTTTTCATAGTTTTGTGATGCCAACTTTGGTGAATTATCTGGTGCTCGTATAGTGCGAATTGCTACTCATCCCGATTATCAAGGTCTTGGTTATGGAACTAGAGCTTTAAAACTACTTTATGAATATTATAGTAACCAGATGGTAAGATATTACAATTTTCGACGGCAACTGTTTTGATTACTACCTTCGACCAATAAAAATTCGTTTACTTCTTTCTTCTAGGACTTGAAGGTTTCAGAGAAGGAGTTAATTAACCGTTATGATGAGCAAATGGACTGTAATAATTCGGGAGGAACAACCAATAGTCTTTCTCGTAACCCCGCAAAATTGAAGTCTGCATCTTCTGCTTTTCATTGTGATGCTAAGAGAACTAACAACACCGACCAGGATGATTCTGAAAGCAGTTTTGAATCAAATGATATCAGTCTTTGTGAAAAGAATGACTCAAAGCTCCTCACGGAAGTGATAAAACGACGTGAGCCTACTAGTCTCCCACCCCTCCTTAGTCGCTTGAATGAACGTCCGTGCGAAAAGCTTGATTATGTTGGTGTTTCATTTGGTGCTACTCCTAGTTTGTTAAGGTTTTGGAAACGATCAGGTTATGTGCCGGTGTACCTTCGTCAAAGTGTGGTATGTTTTTCTGCACTCTGTTAACTTGTTATGATTTGTTAATTTATGCTGGCATCTGTTGTGCACACGAGTATAACGATATAAAAAGGTTACTTAACAGTTGGTAAATATTAGTCGTACCAGTAAATAGATTAGTGAGTAAATGTTCATAGAAACGCTTAGCACAAGATGACACTGGGATTTTTAATAACTAAGAAAGTTGGATGTGCTATAGCAGTGCACTCCTGTGAACGCCCTACTTCAAAATGTCGGGACAAGGAAAATTCACCATGACAGAACAAATAGACAGGTAATGATGTCTTAACATCATAGAAAAATAAGTCGGAAATACTTTACTGTTGTAGCAGCAAATGTCTAGAACTTCAAGACTGAACTGAAGTACGCTTCATGGGATTGCTTACAGCTGAACATCCTCATAGTACTGTTCACATACTTCCGGAGACACGTTAACGCTTATTGTTTTAAACGAGTTAATCCAACCATAACTTACAGCTATCCTGACTTTTTTCAATCCAATAGTTAACCCATCTATCACTGTTGAACGTAGTTAGAAGTAGTACTGGATGATAAAGGTAGCCTACTGCCTTACTTTTTGGTTGCACAGCGGTGCAGACAACTTATGGTGTAAGTCTAGCACCGCATCAAACTTCACCACCACGGTAGTCGATTCGAAGGTGGGTAGTAACTTCCTTGTTCACTGCCCGAGCACGAAGTTTGTGTGTATGCAAGTTGCAGAACAGTGCATCAGACAGTATTCCAGAATCTGAAACTTGTTAACAACGCAGAAATAGTACTATTTTGTCTATGTTACCTGTGTTCTTTTTAATTGAGAGAGCTTATTTCACTCATACGTATTGCTCAATCCAATGTTATTTCTCTTTCGCTGTCTATGCAGCAAGCTAAATATACCCTGTACGTAGCATTGGTGTAATTGATCGTTTATATAGGATTTCGAGTCATTGATTTACGTCCATGACTTTCTCTCAATGGATCATGAATTCGAACGCTCCATTTATTTTGAGAATCTCTGACACAATAGATACACTTCATAGCTTATCACTCAAACCTATGCGTAGTTTCTCACTTCCATTATGATAAATAATATTTAAACATCGGTGATAAGTTGTTTTGCTTTCGTGCTTTTGAACTGTTATCAAACAACTCATGATAATAATACTCTGCCAAAGTTATCCAAATGAAAAGTAATCTGACAAGACTAGATTATTTTATAACGGAATTATATTCGCTTCACTATTCTACTGGGTGCATGTGGACTTACTGTAATTTTTTTTTTCTTTTATATTTCAAAGAATGAGTTGACGGGGGAATTCACATGCATAATGTTGAAACCGATAAGGAATCAACCTATTTCGTATAGATCACCTGAATGGTTCCAGAATTATTTTGATGGTTAGTTTTTGGCGTAAGCCAACTGTATATTATGGGTGATCGTTTCATTTATGCACCTTAGAAATACTGTTTAGTTGTATCGAGTCAGTGTTCATTTTATTTTGTACTACAAAGCAACCAAATTAGTAAAACATGCACATCTAAAGCAACTATGTATTCATAATAATTAGTGTTCATGCACTTCTACTGTAGCCCTAAAATTATAAGTTTCAAATCATGACGGTGAGTTTCAGGAATGCTTTTTACTGCGTGCTATTCAGAAAGTTAAAATCCTTATATAATATCGTGTATGTTTTTAAGATAAGTGGAGTTTAATGCTAATGAATTTAACTAACATTTAACAACAGTTTATGCAGTATGTAACTGAACTGTTTAAGAAAGTAGGCTTCTAGTTGGATGTACACAAAATCATCCAAACGGATGATTGGAAACTCAACAGTTTGCTCCAAAACTGATTTCAGTAGCTCATATTACTTCGTACTTTGTATTTGTTATGCTTTCGAAGGCTAGTGGTTATATATATATATATATATATATATATATATATATATATATATATATATATGAGGAACTGCTTTCTATGTGGTTCACAGGTTACTCTAACGCTTTTCATCACTACTTTTGCATTGTTTTTTTGCATAAATTTGGATAATGACTGAAAATGTTAGGCTGACGAGTGGATTCTAACATAAAAGTCTCCGCGTTTTGAAATTGATTTCTGCCAATAGTTAGGGTCTCTCTGTACTTTATAAGTGCGATGTACACCTGATCATGCAAAATTAGCGAAGGTCCACGAGCAACATGCCTGTATTCAAGATTGAAGTCGATTTGACAAGATTTACTTTAATTGGATGGGTTTTTTCCACTATAGTGTGTTTTTATAAACTTCAGGATCAAAATTTGACCTGATGGAGTTGAATAATTTGAGCATTGGGTAGGTGGATAATAAATAAAATATATTTGCTAAATCCCAGTGAAGTAGAAGAATAAATTTCTGACATTTCGCGACTTGATGGAAATCGCTTCTCTAGAGAATAAACCTTATACGAGTTACCGATTGTTTAAATAGTGAATGGTGACAAATCAGATCACATTGTCTATATACGATAATGATATATCATTGTATGTTGCTCAGGAAGCGTTCGAACTTGTCTTTGTTATCCATTATTAGTCTGGAGTGATGTGAATATGTACACATGTGACTGGGTGTGAAAGTGTAAGAACAATTTTATTGATGACAAATTCGGTTTGTTTGTGTGTATGCACTTTTGTTCTGACCATTGTATGTGAAGTGCTGTTTTTGAAAATACTGTCCACGTTGGTTGGATAGTTAGGCCTTCCTTTCTTTTGAGTGCATTAGGATTCAACATGATGTGAAATGCTTCAGCTATTCTCATTTCTTTATAGTTTGAAAACCTTTTTGAATAGTTTTAATATCGGATTTGATAGATGTCATAAACCGCGATTGCTGGCTTGATTTGTAAATTCTTTAGTTCTAAAGGATTATGTAGCTTATATGTTCTTTAACCGGAATGATGATTTCACGAAACGTCAGAAATTAATTTTTCTACTTCATTGGGATTTTACAAATATATTCCATCTATAACTATAGTATGTATTTCAATTCCCTAAAAATTTGCATTTACAGATTTTACCAAACGTTTAATTTACTTGTTCCCTGGACCATTCCGAAATTTGGATGGGACGTATGGTCTGGAACTTCTTAGTCATAAGATACTAGAGACTAGTTTATCCCAAGGTAATTTTTTAAAGATTATTCATTTTTTTAGAAGACTTACCATTTCATTTTGTGTAGAATTTGGTTTTGATTACGTACGATTCTTTTCCATCAATACTGACGTGTGGAGTCTACTTTAGTTTACTAGTGAACCTCGCCTAGTTAACTAGTTCACTAGTTACTAGCCCGCCCTAAGCCCGGGTAAAGAGGGAAGGTTGGACATAGGGCTAGCAACCCTACCCCGGAAAACAAATCTAACGTCTAAAGAAACTTCAAAGCACAAACAAAATATAAAAATAATAACAAAATTATTCCTCGCTGGAATCGGAGAGGCGAAATGACGCCAGTTGGTGAAAGCCTTCGGGAAGCCAATTGGTCGGTGTATCACCTCTATCTCGATGAAAGCGAAAGTAAACGTGGGGACATGGAATGTCCGCACGATGTTTGAACCTAGCTGGCAAGGCAGCCCAGATTGCAAACGAGATGAAGAGGTATCACACTGAAGTGCTTGGAATTTGCGAAAGCAGATGGAATGGGAGTGGACTCTCCAAACTGTCAACTGGAGAGTCAATAATCTTCTCCGATATTGTCACCCAGACAACAACCACGAGCACATTGAGTTTCTGAGTGGCTATCATGATGTCCCCGAAAGCATCGAAGGCCCTCATGCAGTGGAAACCAATCTCCTCCAGGATCATGACAGCAAGATTCAACTCAAAAGGAAGGAAGGAAGGTCACAATCATACAATGCTATTCACCTAAAAATAATGCAGAGCAAGAGAAGAAGGAGGAATTCTACAGACAACTGCAATCAACACTGGACAAGACCTCAGTTAGCAATATCAAAATTCTACAAGTGAACATAAATACTCCAACAAAAATGGAAGTCCTGAGCTCCATAAAGCTACTGAAATGTGGGAAAGCAGCAGGACCAGATGGGATCCCACCAGAAACACTGAAAACAGACATAGAGACAACAGCGGACATGCTCACACCACACCACTATTGCAGAAGGTGTGGGAGGAAGGGAAGGTACCTGGCCATTGATTGGAAGAAGGGTTATCTTATCAAACTCCCGAAGTAGGGAGACCTCAGTGTTTGCAAGAACTGGTGCGGAATCACTCTCCTGTCCACCCAGAACAAGCAAAATATTAAGCCGCATCATCCTGGAGAGGCTAAAGGATGTACTGGATTCAAAACTACGACCGGAACAGGCTGGCTGGCTAGATTCAGGAAGTACAAATCATGTACCGACCAAATTGCAACGCTACACTACGCATCATCATAGAATAGAGTATAGAATGGCAGTCAACTCCCTGCCTTGCCTCAACTTTATCGACTTTGAGAAGGCGTTTGACAGCGTCGATCGAGAGGCAATTTTGAAACTGCTTCATTACTACGGAGTACCGCAAACCTTTACCCGCCTCATTCAACAACTATATGAAGACGCCACATGCCAGCCAAGTAATTCACAATGGGAAGCTCAGTGATGCTTTTGAAGTGAGGACAGGAGTGAAACAAGGTTGCCTACTACCCCCCATGATATTCTTGATTGTGGTCGACTGGATCATGCAGCAAACAGTGAAGAGCGAGAAGAGGGGGATACGCTGGCTGGACTGCGGAAAAGAACCTAGAAGACTTGGATTTCACCGATGACTTGTGTCTGATGTCACACAAACTTGGAGATCTACAGGCGAAAACTAACAAGTTGGTAGAAGAGGCAAGACAGCGAAGGGAGACGGGACTTCAAGTGAATATAGAGAAGACAGAGGTGATGAAGATACCCCACCACCACCACCAACAACAAACTCCAATCACCACCAACGGGAGAAACGTAGAGGAAGTAGCCTCCTTCACCTATCTAGGCAGCACTGTTTCAACTACAGGTGACGGGACAGACGAGGATGTCGAAGTCAGAATCGGAAAAACGAGACAGGCGTTCATTAGCCTGAAACCAGTGTGGAGATAAAGTGCACTGCACTCAGCATGCGGAACAAGAACCGGATTTTCAACACCAACGTCAAGTCAGTGCTTTTGTATGGTTCAGAGTTTTGGCGCGTTACGAAAGGTATTTCCAATAAACTACAGACATTCATCAACAACTGCTTACGCTGGCTCGCTACTGAAGATGAGATGGCCAGAAAGAATAAGCAACAAGGAACTCTGGGAACGAACCAACTAAGAACCTATCACGCAACAAATATGCAAGAGGAAGTGGAGATGGATTGGGCATGCATTGAGAAGGCTGACTGGGGACATCACGCGTCAGGTGGGGCACTTGAGTGGAACCCCAATGGGAAGCGACGAGTTGGGTGTTCGAGGTGAGGGTGACATGGAGGAGGTCGTGCGAGGAGGAATTGAGAGCTTGTGGGCTATGTTGGAGCCAGGTTGAAAAGACTTCAGAGAACAGAGTGTACTGGAGACGTGCTACTGAAGCCCTATGTTCCACTAGGAACCCATGGGACTAATAATAATAAAATAGTGACCAGATGGTATTTATCAGTTACTTGTTTCCGCTATTTTTTGCTCTTCATCTATAAGTCTATCTCATCAGAATATCAGGGATTGCATTCCCACTTGATTTACGCATCGTCAAATTATGTTGCTCTATGATTTAAACTACTTCGTACTAATGGATGTAACACGTAATTGTGATTGGTAAAACCATTTAAACATTCAAGTTTCAGCACACAAATACAACTGTCAATGTGGATGTTACTTATTACATGCTACTTTGCACAACATGTCGTTTCAAAAAGAGGCCTCGTACTATATATTGTGAATAACAAATATTTTTTATGTTATGGGAACACATCACATTTTGTATTATGAATAGTATGGGGAATGATAAGTCATAGAAACAAGTCCAAACGCATTCTGTAGTCGTTCATTATTCCGAAAAGAAAATATGTATCGCTGTAATTTGAATTTTCGTTGTTTTACTTTTTAACATATTGAAACTTTTGTCAATGTTTTAAAATTTGATGATATTCCAACGATTGGTGATAATACCGTTACTTAGTGAATGGACAAGATTTGTCTTAATTATGTCTATTAGTTTGGAAAGAAAATTGTATGTTGTTTGGGCATCAATGTGCACATGCTAACAGAAGTGTTGGAGCATATCTATTCAAAGAAGTTTTGAAAGATTTAGTGGTCCAAGAATTTATTTCACGAATTCTGTATAAATTTTTAACTAGATGACGCATAAGCGTACAATGTATTTGTACTAGGCATCGAAATGAATTACTTTGAAGATCAGTTTGAAAATGATTTACGAACTACACGATCCACCTTGACGTTTCTCCCAGCTGAGTAGTTTTTAACTGCCTAACTATAGTGTCAATAGGGTTTCCGTTGACAATCGCCTAACCAAGATCACGATGTGCAGATTGATCATACTTTTTTAGGTATATCGGTCCATATGAGTCAGCTAACCAGATTCAAGTGATTTGAAGTAAGTTGGTTCTGTAAACTGAATTTGTCTGAGCACACGGTTGATGAGCTCACCTTCAAACAAGCGAAATGGCTATGCAGTGTTTAAATTGCTCTAATCTGGCTGGCGAAATCTGCAGACCAGCTGTAGTGGTTTCTGACTACTCAGTTCTTGCACTTAGTTATGAGTCAAACCTACTGTGTAATTACCGACAATTTTTTATGAGCTGTCTGAATCCCAGCAAATAAAGTTTGGTTCATTCGCATGGCATACTGATTAGTAGTCCGCTATCTCAACCAATCGGCCACAGCTTAGCGTTCATTTTATACTTTTGAGTAAATAGTGATATGGAGTTTCGCAAGTTTTATTCAGTATTTTCTTACTATGATTCAATAGTCGAGGCATTTTGTTATCACCGGTTAGATCAGAATTTCCATTCCATCACTGCTAACTTCAATCATAATTCGCCCTGTCATTAGCTTCAGTATACGATTCTGTGTATAGTAAGTAATCAGATGCCATTTTTTGTCCCTTTGATAAGTTTTATATCTACGGTTATGTCTGGAGTCCATGGAACAAAACCAGGTTGCTTGATTATTGGGACCCCTCAAACTATTTAACAACTGTGTTTCCAATCGTTTTCATGTTGTGATTGCATACTCGTTAGTTCTCCGAAGTTTGTTACACTTGTAATGTGGGAGAGTTTACATATTTTCAACCATCTGTTCGTTAATAGTTAGGTAGATACTCTTCTGTCTGTATCGAAAATGTACTGATTACCGGAATTTTAATTTGCAATACTTTGGGGTCCTGAGCGTCTATAAATAACTTCATTTCTTTTTATTTATCATATCTCGATTAGAGCTTACTCAGGCAGAAATAAAAAATTTATTCAGCGCAGTGGATTTGGAAAGATTACGACGTTACAGTAGATCGCTTATAGACTTTCACCTTGTTAACGACTTATTGCCGCTTTTAGCTCAAGTTTACTTTCAAAGACGTTTACCTAACGTGCGACTGAATAAGACTCAACAGGTAAGTATAAAAGTTTTATTTAAGTTGCATTTCTAATTAATCTTTGCAACTCATCATGAAGTATTTTTTTTCGCGGTACACGTAATTTCTTTCATATAGCTTGGTAATGATAGTGCAGAAGTATCAGGTTGTCTCAAGCAACATTTAAGTGAAGTTAGTTACTTTAATGCAAAAATTATCCTACATTTCTCAAATGATACTGCATTTCATATTTATAATAGTGAGAATAATTTACTTTGGACAAAACTGCATTCTGTTAGCAGCGAAGTCGTTCACTATTTTATGTGGTCAGATGTAAAACAACTAAAGATTCCCATAACATTGATAAAAATCAACAATTTGAACGAAGAATATTCTTTTTAATAAATTGTCATCAGCTTCTACAATTACGAAATGCATTTGTACGGCGTGAAATCAAGACCAGTTTGGGGCAGATACATTTTTAAAATGGAGTGAGATTTAAGAACTATAAGGAAATCGTTTTTTCTTTTTTAAATTTATCAATATTGGGATAACCTTTATACAGATGAATGATGTGGTAGTGAACAAAAAGATAACGAATAAAAAGGCAGGAGTGGCCTTAAGTTTACTGAAGCTCAAGGGAGGAATAACACTTGAAGATGTTCTTTCTGAATGCAGAGTTCCGTTTGATGAATCTTATTGCGACAGCCTCCGCCATGTTGAGCAGGCATTGGTGAGATACATATGGTATCGTTTTTGGAATACAATGAATGACATTAAAAGCTTTATTAGCATCTATATAATGCACTGTGTCGATTTGGTGGGCTAGGATTGAACTTTTCACCACTTTCACTCCATCCTTTCCGAACCAAGCTGATAAGTGCTCTTATATTCGGAGATGCATCTGCCTAACCGTAACCCCTATGTGACTAGTTCCACAGGAACAGTTAAATTGATATATGCAAGATAAGGAGCTAAAATTAAGTAGGCTATCCTTTAGTCTCGGAGTGAGCTTTGGCTGACTACTGAAAAATATACAAAAGTGACTTGCATAAAACATCCTGTTGATTGCTCCAGCTAGGCGTTGTGATAAAATGTCTCTTGCAACATCTCCATTGAATTTTAAGCACAAGAACAAAGGCTTCTTCTCCTCTGTCATCAATTCTCGTTTAGGGCCAATATAGTTGATGTTAGTTTTAATGAACTTTTCCGGATATGCGTTTTGACTTAGAATATCACGAGTACACAATAGTTCCTTTTCCAAACACTCCTTGAAACAAATCGATCTTACTCTAAATGCCAGGCATTTTATAGTTGTAGTCATATCTGTTCACTAGAGAGAAAAACATCTCCATTTTCATGTCATAGGTTAGTATCCATTATCCCACCAAGGAGTCTCAAGAATAAAATGGTTTTTTCACATATAGACATTTCTCGCTGGTAGATTTTTGTTGTGTCAGAGCAGTAATCTTTGCTTATCGTGACCAAGAGCAGTTTATAAAGTGGTAATCTTTCTACCTATGATAAATTACAATTGCGATGTTTTTCTGTCTATCAGTTTACTGCTATTCACATCTTTTTTCCATTACAGTAAGTCACTGCTTAATTATTACAGCGTTGTTATTTGGGTTTAACCTCAGAGTGCTTCGAATGACCTTTCGCGTTTTCTGCAGTATTTCTTGCTCATCATCATAGCTATATGTTTTCGTTTTATAAATAAATTATTTGAAATATGTAAAAAGCTTGGAAATGTTTCTTCTTTCATGAAAATCCAAGTTATGGCAAATGGTAAGATTTAAGTGGAATTATTATTATTATTAGTCGACTTTTATAGTTATTGATCGAAGGAATGCGTATATGTATCTAATTCCTTATAGACTAAGGTTACACGGCAATGTTAGACAAGAATCAGGTTCTTTGTGACTTCTTAATGTTTTCATTCCCCTTTACAAGGACATGAAAAAAGCATAAAGTCAGTCTCAGTAATGGGCTGAATACATACTGTCGCGTTGAGTAATGGAAATGAATCACTTATTTATCCACATTCTTTTCACTCTGTTTGATTGTTATTCAGTCATGAGTGTAACATTTGAATATTTTTGTTGTTTCTCCTGGATTTTTAGGTTATTCTCTTAGGTATGGGCTTACAACACAAAACAGTCGAACGATTATCCAGTGAATTCGATCGTTTACTCGGTGATTCAGCTTGTCCTCAAATCCGAGTTTCTGGGCTTGCACGATCAGATGATGCTGTGTACTCGGTTTTGAATTCACTAGAGGAGAAAGGTGATTCATCTGCTTGTAAAGTCAATAGCGATTCTTTTGCTAACAAAAAGAAAGGTCCGGATACTGGAATTCATACGGGTTGGGCTAAACGTATTCTTGGTCTCCTTTTTGTTATTGTTCGTGAGCTTACCAAGTCATTAGATGCTATACTCGAATCAAAGAGTAGTAGTGCTGTGGAATCAAGAAAAAATGCTGTTAATGGACGTGTACAACCAGTTGTTGAAGTTGATTTAAAAGTAAGTATGTGTAAACGCTGTTTTCTATGTTGAAATCATATTCCTAAACCCTGTCACCCCTATTTCGGAAAGTCTTCCTCATCCTCTTTTGTTCGTAGCAGGCTGATATTGTATAAAATGTAAATACCAGGTTTGATTGTGGTGAGTAGTTGAAATTATGATGATGTACCGATGACATTAGCTGTTACCCATTTGAAAATCATTCTTATTAATGACAAAACCGTTAGATTTTCAGAATGTGTGGGTCTTTTTCGTTTCTTGCTACTGATTTCAAGTGAATAATTTTTTACAGAATTGTTATCACTTGAGAATATTCTTCTAAGTCAGTGTGTATTTGCCATGATTTTCAATAGGCACTTATTATCATACCTTTTCTTGTTATTTTAGGATGGAAACTATACTGCACTTAGAATGGATGAAGATGCATTCTCAGCTTCTGATACAGAAAATTCTGATAAATGTGAGGATTCACAATCACGTATTCTTAGCAATGATGAAGACAGTGAGAATGATTCAGTGGATGAAGAAAAAAATCCAACTTCTCATAATTTAGGAGTACAGTCTGAAATCAGCGACTCTGAACGAGAACGTCGATCCACCTTGGTACGCCAGCTTATATCTGAAGAACTTGTTGGTCAAAGTAGTTCTCTCGGACCCCTCTCTGCTTATAAAATTCGTGGTTCTGAAACCGATTGGGCTGAAGCTGTGGTTGGGCATGGATCCGATCTTTCTTCCCTTACCGTTAAACTACCGGATAACCAAAAAGTTACCAATAAAATGTAAGTGTAATAAATTGTCACTCAATGCAAAATCATAACTAAAATTGTCCTAAGTGATGTTTTGGCTGTTTGTACGATTCTTCTACTTCATCTTAAATTTGGCCTCAAGACATGGGGATTCTTTGAGAATCCATCCACTGTTATTTACGATTTTTCACAAGAATCACCACGTTTCTCTCTCTAAATTCTAATAACTGTTTAAACAGCATTTTAAACTTTTGTTGGTAACGCGTAAATTATGGTGTAATTCACACTCCACTTCCAAATGGTTTTTTAGTGTCAAGTAACAAATTTGTCGCGGCTTGTATTTACTTATTTTAAAACCATCTGTATTTGTTAGAAATAATTTTTCTATCTTCCTGTTTCAACTTACATTTTAATCTCGTGTTAAGTTTGCGCACATAAGAATAACAATTTTGTTTGTAGTAGGACGTTTTCAACCCCTAGCTGTATACGTGTTTCACTCTGAATTTCGTCCATATGTTTCTCATAGACTGAGGCGCTGTTAGACTCCTAAAGTGATCCTACCTTTGTTGCCATCAATTTTTAGTATACTCATCGTTAACAGGCCACTACGGAGAGGTCTGAGCTTTGTTGTCAAATGCGTTTTTATCTTACACTTCTAATTTCCGGTCATTACACATACCGCTTCATTAATATGGCAACAGATCTGCCCAAGCGTGTACAACTAAATGCTGGTTCATGAGTAGCGATGCCTTGTTTTTTCCTTCAAAATATTCACATTGCCATCCAAATAATCAGTCTATTCTGTTTGAATATAGGTAGCATTCATTTCTGCTCTATTATAATCTCTTGTTTTTGTGCTCCAAATTTTTAAGTTTGTGAGTGCCAACAGAAATTTTTACGAACTAGCTGGAGTATGTTGTAGCATTCTCAGAATAGTCTGTATATTAGTAAATAAACTTATATCGTAAGTAATATAAAAATTGATATCCCCCTGGTTAACCGTACGATAACATTGATCGATAGCTGAAACCTTGACTTGGTGATTGGACTTGCCTTTATTCATGCTGTGATAAGAGTCTAAGGGTGAAGTCGTATTTCAAACTGAGAGGGCTATGACAGCAGTAGGCTTCTTCTCGTGAATGATCAGAGGTACCATGCTGATGCTGCTTCCGTTGTGGGAAAGGAGAGTCGGAAAATGTTGATCCAAAAAAGCACATTCCTGCCGTGTTGTCTTCTTGTGTCATTGGTGTGGGTTTTTCAGTGGGATTCAAAGCACAAATTTAAATCTTAGACTTCCAAATAGGTAAGCTAAACCTACCGTCTGTCCAGGATCTGAATGAAATTTATGTATCAACCCTTCACGTTGAGAAGGCTGTTTCAAAACTGAAACGATGCAAAGCAGTAGGACCAGACGGTTTACCAGCAAAAGTTTCCAGAGATGGAGGTAGAAAATTAATGAGTATAGCAACGAAGGTACTAGGTGGTGTATGTGATCGCTAATTATTTCAGTTTATAAGAAAGTAAAGCAGTTCTCGAGTATAAACCACAGGCCAATCAGTTTGACATAACATCAAAGGTCCTAATGTCTATAGTTATCTAACACCTGACTGGAGCTCGATATAAACAGGCAGTTTTCAGACCTTAACAAGGATACATCGATCGAATAACCAATCTTTTCAGGTTTTGGAACACAGACGTAGTTGCCAGCGACCAACGATTGCCACATTTCATCGACTTGAAGGCAGCATTTGACTCTGTTGATAATGTCCGACTCTGAAAAGAGTAACAAGCGAGTATAACATACTTATCACTGCTGCGTACTGGGACTTACCCAGCTGTGTAAGTGATGATTCGAAATTGTTATTTGAAGGAAAAGTAACAGTTGTGCCCGCCAAGGATGTTTGCTTTCACTGTTCCCGCTTAACTTCGTTATAGACATACTAGCGAAGATAACCTTGACTTTTCAGGAGATGACCTTTGGAAGTTGGATCGATACGCAGTAAAGCGAGGTATCATATTAATGTTGGCTGAGGATGGCATCTGGTTGACTTGGATTACTCAGATTATATAGTCCTGTTAAACAAAGATGTTGACAATTAGCAGTCTTGTCATTGCTTTGAACATAAATCTAAATGATGAATTTTGCACCCAGCACATGTAAATGCGATTTCAAGACTAGTGTCCACCGACTTCCAGTTTAAATGTAAGGAGTGAAGTAGTTTAGTGCAGTGAACGCTCCCGTTACTTCGGGAGTTCTATCACGACGAATACGCTGTCTATTGATGAAATCTCAGTAGGGATACAAATGCTCATCTGACATCTGCCAACTTAAACCATCCCTGGTGCCGCCAAGATATTCGACTGTCTATCAAAGGAAGAGTATATTGCATCGTAGTTCACTCGGTTTTATTGTACGGCCGTCGAACATGACCATTGGATGTAAAAGATATAAAAAGAATACAGGTTTTTGAACACTGGTGTCGTCGTCGTGTTGGTTGTGGAATCACCGTATGACCATTGGTGAGGTTTGGGAGAGGGTACAAGGCGAAGCAACACAGTCAATTAATCAGGTTGTGAACTTTATGTGACTAGGCTGGCATGCACATGTGTTGAGCATGCCGAGCCATCACTTCCTTGACATCGAATGTTAGCCGAAGTTGGATTAGGTTGTAAGAACGCTACAGTTGTCTAAATCAGATTGTGGAGCCAGACTATGAAGTCTCTGATTTGGTTTGAGCTGTGTATATAGATGTAGGCTGTCTCGTTGGGACCTTCGAAATAATTGGAATCATTAGTTGGCTACGCTTGATGACATAACTGAAAGCTGTTTACAGCGGCTCACATTTCTTTTACTTGAACTTCTGTCAACTTCAGCTGTGCATGTCTTTCTACTGTTTCCATGACTGTAGTGTAGTACAGTATCTGAAAGTATAACCTGGGCACTGTAGTAGAATATAATTCCCTGTTAGATTGTTTATTTGATATAACACGAAGATTCAGTACTATTTACTGGAACAAATAGTAATGATAATACTACATCATTGTGTGTTATATCAAACTAAAAGCCTAATATAGTTAAACGGTATAACATATAATGAGTAGCATTTTTGTCGTTCTTATGGCATTACTTCAGCACAGTTGAGCAGTGAATTGTATTCAAAACCGTTGTCTACTAAGTAAAATTGTTTCACTGTGATATCCAGTCAGAAATTTTTAGCGATTAATAATATTTATTTTGATTTTCTTCAGAAAAAGTAAACGGGAATGTCCAAGTGGTCATTTTGAAAAGAAAAAGCACAAAAAGAAGCCTAAACTAACCAAATCGAAACGGCAAAAACTAACCTGATTTCAGACTAACATCTCTTTGTAATGTTATGTGAAATTGTAATAAAAAGGGTATATTTTGTTTTTTGCTTTTCGCTTATATCTGGATGTAGTTCTTTGTTGTACATGATTACTTCTACTGGTTGCTTTAGAAACTTGTTTATTGTAAAAATGTTCTAGACAAGCTCTAGTTCCTGGTTTATTATACTCTTTGGTTGCACAATTCTTGAGACGGGATAATTTGGTACGTTAACGTTAATTGGAATCTTCATCTATTTGATCAGTTGTTCGATCTGTTGTAGATGACGCTCCCTTCAAAAAATGCATGTGAATAACGTTTATTCTTTGCGGTTAGGAATTTTTTGTCATAATGCTTTACTTAGTCTCCATCATCAATATCCTAGCGCGATTGGTATTATCAGTGTTGCAGTTTGTAGAACCTGGGGTACTACAGCACTAACTAAAACCACGTCCTACTATTCGAAGTCAGCATTCGGTCTCTACAATTAAAATGATCGAAAACTGATATCGCGTTTATCAATAAAAGAAAATTTCTAGAGGTGCTTTCAAATAACACTAGGTGCTTTATAAATCATATCCGGAGGCACCCTTAGAAAAAGTTTAAATTTTCAATAAAATGTATAATCTATCATTTTGAAATACTGATTCATCGACAAAGTTCAGTTGCCACTCAAGCTTATTTGATCAGACCCTCTCTTATTACTCAGTACACTCGTTGTAGAAGGCCAGAGAAAAGATACTTACACTAAGCTGATTATTTTTGTTCAAACAACTTTCATTTTATAAGCTTTTTTAAACTGCCCAATAAACCGCTCACTTCGAAAATTTTAAGATCAAACCAACTGCACAGACTGCTAAAGGACAGGTCAACTTTATCGTTTCATCCAATACTTTTGATATCGACCGTCTTTCCATTAAGTTCCTCTGACCTTATCGTCCTTGTGATTGGTTGCCACCGTCAAGGTTATATGGAAATTAAAATTTTCATTGGACATGGGAGCAGTAAAGTTTTTAAAAATTCAACCAAGCCTTTTGGCTTCAGTTGGTCTAATGACGCTTGTTAGGAATGGATGATGTAAACTCGCGTATATTGTATCTTCCTCGTGAGTACTTAAGAAAACTTGTTATATTTTTGAATTCTTATCAAACCGCTCGGTTAATATGTCTGCATTAGGAAAAAAAGCGTCCAAGAAGGACTTCGTGTCCTCATGTAGAGAATTTTGTTCTGTGCAAAAGTAGTTAATTTGACGACAACTAATTATTTGCATCCCCCAGTTATTGGTGACAAATCAGCCATATCATTGTAGTAGAATCATGTTATTAGTTCCCTTGTGGTTTTGTAAAACAAAAGACACTTTGAAAGCTACGAAAATAACTGGTTGAACGTTTTTATTTCATCAAAAAACTATCTGTCCGGAAGAAATAGAGAAGTCCAGTTGGTTATCTCGTCGGTTGCTAAAGTGACCTTTAGTGTTACCTGTGTAAAAGCAAGTGAAGGTGAGTAATTAGTCGACTGTAGAATTCCTTGGTCTAATGACCCATCGTAACCATATAGATTAGTGTGTCTGAACCCAATATTCTAAGAGTAATTTTAGACTACTGATGTTCGGATGATAATCATTTCAGTTGTGCGATCCTTGTAAGCTAGGGTTTCAGCCTGCTGTACCTTTCTGAATAAGGTAGTTGGTCTTTGCTTCCATCCTCGAACGCATGCGGAAAGGATTCTCAATAGTTGTTGGTTCCTATTTTTGTCACCAGGGCTAAATCAAGTACAAAGCACTCAGGTCTCCATTTGTAGTGTATTAAGTCCGCCCCATCCAATACCCCTCCAGGCATCTTTGTTGGTGTGTCATTCACTTGGAAGGTACTCCATAAATTGTAAACTCATATTAGCACCTTTGTTCGTCAGTTTCATAGCTTATTGCGCTGTGCCCTATTTAAGCGTGGAAGAAACTTAATAAATTGTTTGAGGTATGGAAAACAGTTTCATGGCTCTAAGATGAAGGCAGCATTGTTCCTACTACTAGGAGGAAGCAACGTAACATGTGCAACAACAATAACGGTACCAGCCTGCTACTGATATCATCTCTAGTACTGACTGCTATCATAATCTTCAGGTTGTTCAAAAAGCTGATTCATGAGAAGTAAACAGAATTTGTTTCGGGCCATGAACACATGAGACCTATTTACCCTTCATAAGATGCTTAACACTGTTACGAATTGCAGACAAATAATCGTGATACCGCTATTGCATGCTGTTCGTGGGACTGGAATATGTTTTGGAATTGTCTTTAAGAAATGTCCGTAAGGAATTTACTAGCATATTGTATATCCTATATGTATAAACACCTTAAGTAGGGAGAATGTAATTTCTCTCCATTTTTCGAAGTATATAGTGGGGCTAGTCAAGATGTCCTAGTTTTGCAGTTCGTGTAGCATGACTGTGACATCCCTGAGTGATTGTGGTTTGCATCGTCTAGAAAAAGTACGACTTTTTGACATGTTAGTGTTAAGCTGTTGGAAGTGGCCTATTTACTTTACTGGATAGTTGTATGTGTTTGTAGATGTACGAATGAGATTCAACAACCTGGTAACCTTTGCCACTATCCTGACGTTGCTCTAAAAGGTCGAGCGTACAACGCATCCATGCAGTTAGTCTTTTTCCATATCAGCGAAACGTAGCCTCTTCGAGTCGACAACTGCCAGCGATCCCTTTGTTTCTGTTCGATTGCTGATTCGTAGTGGAAACACTGGGTGATTAATTCTTTGGCATGGGATCGCATGTTTTAGCGTGATTATGCTTGTCATTTATTCAGTGATCTCAGCTTGAAAATCGGTTTCGGTACCTGGAAAATGCAATGATGTATTCCTGGCATTTATACTGCACACTGTTCGCTAACCATGGGATTGAAAGTAAGAGGTAGTCCGTGTCTGTTATCGCTGCATGACAAAAGATATATATGTTAAGAGCCACAAGACTTCTTTGATTGAATTAAAATTGAAATGCACTCAACAACCTTGTTCACGTTTCGTGCAGTAGGCATTGAGGCACATCTGTTGTGTGAGGGCTAATGATGCTACCTGTTTGCTTAAACCTCTATAGGTGGAACGGGGCTCAAACCCCGTGGTTCACTGGTTGAAAGTCATCTTAAACCGAAGAGCCACAGCTCCACTTCTTTAGTGGTGTCTCAGAGCTCTTACGACTCAGTGACATAAGATTATACAAGGTATTGTAGCTCGTGATCGAAACCACTAACGGTCATGTTTTTTTCTTGCTTCCTGTATTCCTGGAAAGTACAGCAAATGCAGTGAAAGTTTTCGTACACATCTTATGAAGCCAAGTGTCTGATGGTGCATTTTTCTACTTCTAGTTTTTAACTTGATAGTGTTGACTTTGCATGTTATACGGAGTATTTCCTAGTGCTGAGTTTGTACCTAAAATAAATAAATGTAACCAATGCTCAACAACAGTTGATGGTTTTATGTTTGGCTTAGTTTACTGTCAACTTGCACCATTAAACGCGACCCGTGTTTCTGGTCAACCAGATTTAGATTTTACTGAACAGTAGCACATGCTGACCATACGAATACATTAACGTATTACCAGCTCCCAATCATGTACTCCTGAAGTAACCACAGAATTGTACAACTGGGATATCGATTACTGGTATATTTGAGTCTGGTTAGCACATCATTGATGACTGTTCTGGAATTCAGTTTTGCCTAGACAATAAATCGTTATCTGCAGAAAACGATCTACATGATTTGAAATGCAACTATTATTTTCTACGCCTTAAAACCTGGCTTGTGCATTTAGGTCATCAGCCGAAACATAGATGTTGGTGAACCTCACTTAGTTGAAACGGTCAGTCATAAAAAACACCCACTTGATTACTCCATGCAAAGCGCCAAATTATACAGCCAATTGTTAACCTTCGAAATCTACCCTTAGATTAAGCACAGCCGTTTGATTTCAGCATTCTCAAGTTTTTCTTCTTATGTGTCCTTGAGTTGGACCACTGTTCTGTATTTGTAGGATTTCTCGCACCCATGTACAATAACTTCGTAAATAATTCGGAAACAAGTTTTTTTTCAGTGATCATAGAAGTCGTTATTCCTTTGGTTAACTAATCTTAAAACGTCATCTGCTATGGCTTCGATATATTCACACTTGTCGCAGAGGCTTCCTATGCCGCCTACTGCTTGATCTTCCTTCAAAAGGTATTTACTTCAAACATGGTACCGAAACAAAATGGAAAGTTGTGTTGAACTGTCACTTATATACGTATCATAACTTTCTTGGTGTGATGCTGAAGTTGGTGCATGTCATTAGAACACTTTCAAATATGGTTGAGCATGGAGACCTGTGGTGTCATTTCTATATTTAGTTTACTTGAATCTACAGCATAATCGCCAGTGGTTTTGAATCTGAGCCAAATCTGACAACGTCTCAGGCCACTGAGTTGCGTGATCTCTCGGACCTCATCCAAGGGGTCGTGATGCACCAACAAATATCCTTCACCCCACAGCGCCATGTCACACACTGACCACCAATTCGCTTCTTCCCTCCAGTCCCAGGACTAGCAAACAAGAAACGGTAGGGATGCCGTTAGGATGATATACGTAACACATGTCCAGGCTACTAGTCGGTGTTTCCAGATGACTTCACGTATTGGATGGCGATCTCCATCATGCCCAAACACACGCTGTCGTACCTCAGAATTAATTACATGATTTTGCCCTCGGATGCGAGCAGTGCTACAGAGACAACCATGATCGAACACAGTGTGGTCTCATATCGTCAGCTCAGTGTGACTAGGCTTCATAAGCGCAGACCAGAACTACTGGCACTGAAGCATTCTAAACCCGACCTTTTACGGTCAGACTAACGTTGCGACGGCGGCCTAAATTGGTGGATACCGCTGTGGCTTTCGATATGGGGTTAAAAATTTCATCACACACAACTATCTATATACATGAATGCTTCAACCCCTTCCAATTTCTCACCAACGACAGTAAGAGCTTACCAATATGGCAAAAGTAATTTGCACTTCTGTGGGCCCAAGGACATACCATACTTAAGGACACTAATCCCCAACTGATTAAGTGCGATTTGAGTAGCCTGTGTACTATTACACAGTAAGACGACTTCGTCCGCATATTCAGTGTCAAATAGCCGTTCTCCAGGTCGAAGGTCTACACCACCATCTCGAAACTCCTTCAGAGGTGTCTCAAGAATGTCATCGATGGCCAAGTTAAGGAGGAATGGAGGAGTCGGGCAACTCTGCTCAATCTCACTGGTGGTTTGGAACAATGTAGACAAGTGGTCGTATTCATTCACTCAACTTAAGGTGTCATTCTATATTGAGCTTTCATGATGTTAATGAATTTATCAGTCACACCCTCTCTAACAGGCAATTCCAAAGTACAACTCTGTTCGATGAATCGAATGCAACGCCAATATCAAGAAACATGACGGTTATCGGCCTGTAATACGTGTAGCGATGTTCAAGCATCTGGTGGAGGGTAAACACGTGATCTATGCTTCCATGACCTGAATGGAACCCGACATGCTCCTCGTGAATCGTTTTCTCCTTTGTTTTGCGAAGTATGATCGCAGCTAATATTTTCGACGCAACTGGTAACAGACTAATACCCCTATGATTGTCATATACATTATGTAGACTCTTTCGAAAGATGGGTACAACAATGACTTCATTCCAGGGTGATGAAACGCTATCAGTCTGTCATACTTTCTCAAACAGTCTAGTTAGTTCCCTAACTAGAGTCTTAAACAGAGTTGGAGATAAGCTATCTCGGCCGGGTGCCTTGTGGCGTTGCAGAACTTGGAGCTGAAAGACGCTTGTTAGCTGGTCGACAGTCAGTAATATGCTAAACAACTACGCAAAACTATATTTCTAAGTGGTGTTGAAAGGAACACCTAAAATGAGGAAACTGCTTCCCAGTATAAAAATAGAACTCACTCCTTAACTTCCTCTGATTTATCCATTTTAAAGTTCGTTAGGTGGGTCAGTGCTAACTGACAATGAAGCACGATACGCTGAAGCTGACAATACTGGAGTCTTGGGCCAGCTAAACTGCTTTTCGAAGTGCTCTAGACATCTTTGAAGATTGTTTATCAACGTACTATCTACCTCACTAACACCAGACTTCTTGCTGCTAGTTGCTCGGACAAGCAACAACTTCAGACTGTTGCCAAATTCTACTACCAGCTCGCATATTCTGACTACCAAGCCTCACGGTTCCTGCGTGCATGCTGTATAATCTTTCATGTAAGAGACTTCCACGAATCATTGTACTCGCTATCCACTGGTATAATCTGACGCGCTTCAAGAAGCTGTAGGGAGCTTGCAGAAACCCACTGTTTATTAGTGGGACGTTCAACCAAGCTGCAACCGGTTTTACACGCAATTTCCATGGTGTCTTGCAAGTGCAGCTAATGCTATCCTACACTTTGTGGAGTATCGGTAGCTAGCCTTAAATCTAGCTCAGATTGGTATTTAAGTGAAACTGATTTGCTTGCATCGCCCAGTTTAGGACGATGATTCTGAAAACCACCAAAACGGAAGACGAGCCGATTTCAAAAAGATCTATTTGAGTTGAGGATTGAGTGGCAGAGAGAGGATCCAAACTAGCACAACGGGTATGGCTGTACCGGAAGTTGCTGCTGGCTAGAAATAGGTTATTTACAGAAAACGACCCCCATTATCCAACTTGTGGCCACCTAGATGACTCTCCTCTAAGTCTAGACCCCGACTTGAGCATTTTAGTCCTTAGCTAGCTCCACGATGTCTGTCGAGCGAACTTGGTTGAGGTGAATCGAATGATCGAATACATCCTTAGTTGCATCCGGGCTGCAATCCGTCGGAGCACAGGCAGAGATGTCAGAGACATTGTTTTTCTTGCCAGTTACGCTTTACTCGAGATGAACCTGTTAGCCCAACAGTACACAGACAACTGTTGATAGGGATCCAGTCGAGTAGTGCGGCTTCGACTCTAGCACTTAGTGGGACACGAGTGAGGCCGGTTGCCGATGCCTCAGGGTCTCCAGATATGCGCACATGAAACATACTTTCTGAGATAACTGATGAGGAATTTATTGGAGTCATGTGGGTCTCTGAGATGCGGCAAATATCAATAAGAAGGCTTTCCAGAGTTCTAGCCAAACCTGCCTGTTGTCTGATCTGCATCAAGTCGCAACGTTGAAAGTGGTGAGCTTAAACGGTATGCGTGGTTTCAGGATATCTATGGCACATGTCGCACTGGAGGACAGCTTTATGGGAGCAACTGTTTAGACACTCAAAACTTGTACTTCGGTTCTGATATGACTAGTGTAGTAGGCGTCGCTGATAATGGAAATAAGTAGTATATGTTGAGAGGGTGGCAGAAATCAAAGCGAATTACCAGCAATGGGTAAGGGTTCTGCCAAGATAAATGCAAGAGACAAGGCAGGCGTATGAAAAGCAAATCAAGAAAGAAGCAGAACGGGAGATGAAGCACATTTTGCAAATGACGGTTTTAGTGCAAGGTGTACCCTATTTAACGACTACTGTCCCATTTGTTGACATCAAAGATTCTTTCCTTCATACCTGTCTTTTTGCTTCTTTCAGTATCAATTAGGAAAAGTCTACCCCACGTCAACCTTTCATACATTTTGCTAAACCCGTGTAGTATAACAGGAATCGTTGCTTTTGACGCAGCTGATAACGGGCCAATACCCCATTTGTTCCAATTTACATTACTTGGGTGCCTTTCTAACATACGAACGATGATAGTATAATACTTTAGTCGTTTTCTACACCGATGTACTGAGATGCGTCAAAAGGTTTCAAGAGATTCGTAGAGACCCAGTGTCTACTAACAAGATGTTCGTCAAAGACGCAAGCAGCTGAACTCGTTCTCATGACGTCTTACGGATGCAGCAGGTGTTCATTTATACTTCCTCCTGGTTTGATAGTTGGTCTTCGTTTTAATCAATTTTGTATTTGGCTGGATTACCAACTGTAATCGATCTGCCCATGTAAACCAAGATGACTATTCCGATATCTACCAAAGCGCAAGATCAACTTAGCACACACTGAACCGTAATCAACATCTAAACAAGTACTCCACAAGGAGCGGTAGTTCTGAACATTGCCACACCACCGATGACTGGTCACAACATGATGCAGTTCAGGCTTGAGTGACAGAAAAACATTGATTATCACAACGAAAAAGACTAACTAAAATTGTTACTGGCAAGGAAAAAGTTAAAAATGTACGCAAAGCTGCAGAGACGATCCCTGCTGTTACCTACGACTGACCAATTTTGTTTGGTTTTCCGACCGACTTCCCTATCAACCTAAACGGCTGACATGCGCATTGAAATGCCAAAGTAGTGGCGTAGTATTTGTTGAAAGCATTTAGTTGAGGTCATGCAGTTGTTGATAGGATTCATTCTTGATTGCAGTCCATCAGAGCGTAGGTAGACATGAAGAGACATCGTTTTCTTTGTGAGTTAGTATTTACTGTAATTGATCAGTCTGGTCTAGTGAAAAAGACTGTTAATAGATATCCAGTTGACTAGTGTAGCTTTAGTCGTGAGGTTTAGTACGACATGGATACCAGCAAGGTTGGGTGTCCGTGACACAGGGTTTCCGAATGACCATCCACCATACACACCTTTCCATCTTGTAGATGAAGAATTTATTTGAAGAACTTAGTTTGGACCTTGCACTATAACACACATCTCGGAATTAAAATCATTGCTGGTCGCGATGTTATTTCATAGTATCGTCTGCTTTCTTATTGTTAAAAATATTAATGAATTTATGTATCTTATGTCACTGTTGTTATTCGCCTTTATTTTTTCGTAATGATGCCATAGTGTTTCATTTAGTGCGTTTCTTGGCGTCCGAATTTTCTCAGCTTTGAGTCAGAATAATATTTCTGCTCTATGAGTAGATAATATCACCATTTATCTCCGAACTAATCTGTAGGATTTCTGACGGCGAGAAAATAGCATCTGCAAAACCGTAGTACCTTATTTTCTTACTTTCGTACACTTGCATGACTTCGTGTTCTCCAAGTGAGTGTAAAATCTTGAATCACTAAACAAGATTTTATCGCTAAACGTGTTTACGAATTTTTCTGATTTAATCACCTATCGTCATCATAACACATTGAAGTGGTATGCAATCTTGGCGTTTAAATATAGAAATAACCAGTAGATAAGGAGAAGTACGTCATTCATTCTCAGCTCTTTTAACTGCTTAGTCAATGCCAAATTTGGTGTGTTGAGAACGTTATTCCGATGTTAGTGTTTTATTTTTATTTTATTGGCTTACATTAATATAAACTTGAAGTTTGTTACTACCTAAATAATATAAAACAGTTAAGGCTTATATAATAAGAAGTTCTCCAGTGGACAACATCCCATTTATATCCAATTCTGCTGTGAACAAGTAAGTGATAGGTCAAATCACTGGAGTGAAATAAAAGACTGAGAGATCGTGAATGTAATTACTCAATCGCCTCTGAGCTTCTTACTAGTATCTGTAAGGAAAACATGATTTGATGACACTTCTGGTACACTAACGGTGCTTCTATTTCACTTGAAAAATTTATTAATTAAGTACTTAATGATGTGAATGCGAACCCATTGTGAAACTAAATTTGTAAAACTAATTTTTAGAACTTCCTGTCAATGATCTGTATCAACCCAACAATAAATAAAATGCTTCATTTATCACACCACTTAGCTGCTGTAATAAAATTTCCTGTGAAAGTAATTTTTCCAGTTCTGAGTTTTTATCGAGTAATCTGATGTGTGTATTATAGTTGGTCATGGAGCCTAAAATGAGACACTTTTAGTCGCTAATTATTCCATCAAATCAATATGACTTATGCAAGCAGTCATCTACATCAGAATTAATTCTGACGGATAGTAATATGCACTCATTTCATAAATATAAATGTAGTCTATCAAAGAGTATAATCACCTACGGCACTAAACAGTACTGCTTGTCATAGACAGCACTTGATGGATATCTTGGTGACTTCTAATTGATATTTTTGTATAAAGCGTATTTCTGTTGAATTTGTTGCTTTTTACAGCTGACAGTATCACGAACTTTTGGCTTTATGCTGTTTTGGCAGCAATGACAATATTCTCCTACTTTGTTATACGAGGGATAAAGGAAATTTGGTAAGTTGATTAAGGTTTTGATTATTTTAAGTTGAAATAAGCCTGTGTTAGATGTGTTTAAAATGCACTGTTTTCAGAGAATATCTGTTACTGAGATTCGTGTTCGTAATATGAATAAAAAGAAAGTTATGTCTCACTACTGTTAAGTCAAATAGCTGTCAATTTAGCTTACTGTAGTGCTTAACATGGTCGGTTATAATTTTCTTGCTCTTTTCGAATCTGATCTTGAAAATGTGGGCCACAAAGTTTGCAAACAGACACTTAACTGTAGTTTACCAACATCACATTTTATTTTACTAAATATATTTATGATACATTGGAATCTTTCATTACGAGACTACATATCTAAACAATTTTAGTTATATGTTATTTGATAAGCAAGCAGTCCACTTTTTGAACAGCCTATTTACTACAAACGTGAACATCTTTAATCTGATAAAATTTCAATAATGCTCAGCATTACTTTGATATGAGGATATAAAATGTAATTCATAATCCCCATCGTGAAATCAAAAACAAGATATTCAGCGAAGAGGACTTTTTTCATCGAATTTGTTCTCAAGCTGTACATTATATATATATATATGGAGAGAGAGACTGCAACCCGTGATGGTTGTAGTTTATAGTGTTGCTAGTCGGTGACGTAAAAGTTGAATGATAGCAAAAAGGGGTTACGTAAGACTTTTAGATAGTTCATACGTATTTACTGCCGTAGATGATAACTGATCGAATTTTTCTGGTTAGAAAATCGAAATAGAATATTTATTTATTATCATTATATTATTATTATACAAAAGTCTTGAGAACCAATAAAAACTTTTCTGGTTACGAATTCATATAGTACATACCTTTAAAACTGTACTAGCCTGGATCAAAACTTTGCTAAAAGTATTCACCAGGTTATAGCTGTCTCATTAATTTATTCAAACTTACTTTGGAAATTAAACTTTTTATATGATTATTCAAACTATTTTAATTTTTTAGTTGTGAAACGATCACTCCAAATTTATATCGTGTGCATCCATCACACAAACCAGTTAGTTTTTGCTCTGGTGAGAATGAAACAAGAACTGGCCTACAATCACGAGTAACTGTTTTTTACTGATAATTTTAGTGAATTTATCTCTTGTCATCATAAGTACCCTCCTATGTATCATATGTTCAGCTTAATTTTTAATTGTTCGTATTTCTTGTCTTTTTAACTTAACTGCTTCCTGATTAAAAATGTTTATTTTAATGCCTTTATTTCGAAATATTTTCTTCACTTAGAAAATAGACACTTTACTAAATTAGCAAGCCTTTGCATAATTTTTGATTTCAACCCATAGTATATAAGGGTGTTTCAAATTTGGGTACTTTTGATTACTCGCTCAGAAGTCATGCTGTTTCTTCACTACTCTAATGTGATCTCTAGACTGTAGTGATTTGGTTGTAATTGGCAGACACATTCATCTTCCAATGTCGTTTATAAACTTCGAAACTGATAGCAGAGGAGTAAGTAATGATAGTTTAACTACCGAAAGAAACCAGTCACGTCACTCTTTGTACCTCACATCGTTCAAAGTTTTGGTGATGACGTTACGTGATAAGTCACTCAAACCCCTCTTATAGTCGGGCTACACAGTTCGGAAAACATAGCATTATCAAGATAAACAGCTACACTTCTTTTGCTTAATTAGGAAGAAAAGTAACAGGAAAAGTTATAGAGGTCTAATAGTAATGGTATAATCAAGATGATGAGTCGCCTGGTAATGAACTCGTTCAGTACATAATGATCAAATTTTATAGTAAGACAAACAGTAGATGAATCTCAATCATTGGTACCAATCTTGGGGAATGTTAAGTAGGGCTATCAGCTATCAAAAGCTAATAAGTTTTTATACTATTCGGATAAGAAATATTAAACTATGGCTAGGGAAGTTACTTTCTTCTGAAATCTTGGTTAGCTATACTGCACTAAAATGTATGAATAAATGAGTTAGTCTCGGCCACCTCATTTGCATGTATAGAATTTATTGTAGACCAACAGTTTCAAGAAACTAACTAGTCGCTAAATGTCCTTCCTCTGTTTTCCTTATGTATATTATTCAAGAGACTTGTTGTTAGGTGTCATCCACCAGGCTGCATGTATCATTTATTCCGATTGCATGCCAACTAGGATAACATTGAAATTTACAGAGAAAAATATGGAAATAAAAAGACTACTGATATGATGCATAACATCTGCTCGAAAATGATTTTTAGTTCTGAATCGCAATTTTCCAAAATAGCGGTAATTTATAAGAAAAATATTCTTGACACTTCGCATAAATTATGATGGTGTGAATCGATCTTTCACGCGATAAATTCTGCTTGAAACGTCATGCAGTAAATTATATGGTACCACGTGTGCTACATCGAATAACCAACTTAATATGCAACTGTTTCATCAAATCAGGCTAAAATATGACTCATGAAAGATCATAGTTAACTGCACACCTCGAGAGCTGGTCTGTAGATTTAAAATACATGAAATTTATGTCTTAAAAACCACATTGTCAGAGACCATAATAATTTATTTATGCATATCGATATGACACTGTTCTTTCAGTTGGTAAATAAGAAACTCAACGTTCCATTTAATGCATATTGAAAGTTCATGTATTCAGCAGTTACTTATTCATTTCAGGAATAAATAAAAACATACCATATTTTCGTCATATTTCTACTGAAAACAAACTTATCACGATCGAAAAATATGGACACAACTTCATAAAAGTGCAACTTTAGTGGATATCACACTTCAAAGCTGCATGCTAAGAACAAACAGGTAGAGAAAGAGCGATATTAAAGCAAGCGAAAGTGCCTAGAAAGGTCCTCATATCGTGGAAACCATATATCAAACGTGACGTCGGCATCTAGATCCTATACATACTCCGAAATACTGCAACCAACTGTATCATCAGAAAAAGATGGGGTGACGGTAAGTGAAGCGACACCCAAACCAGCAAGCAGCTCTATCATCTTCAGTTGTTACTCCATCAACTTCTCTAATCGCTGTGCATCCATTTTTGACACCGTCGCCAACTGTTACATATTTCAAGCAGATATAATACGCACGCTTAACTGACAGCTAACTTCGTACTTAAGACCCACCGACTCCAGTCTGGGACGAATAGAGAGAAGGCTGAACTGTACGGGAGAATGTGCTCCTCCGAGAATAATAATCAAATAACCTAAACACACGTGTATATGTGTCCACATGAGATATGACCCTGTTCAGAAATTCAGACATAAACATAATAAAGATAAGCTCTAAGCAATCAGCGAACTACCTTCAAAAATAGGGGTAGCAAAATGAACGGCTGACTACCCCGAAACGAAAGGCCAGAAAACGACAGTTTAAAAAAATTTATGGGAAACTGAGGCTATTAAAGAAAATTATTTCAGTTTACGCATGAAATTTAGTTTTAACTACCGAGTACCCTGGTATTCCTGCGGTTCGTACTAATGACGACACTGATTCAGTTCGTCTTCATTATTGTACTTCCTGTAGCCTGACCGGTGGCTGCAACCTTGATTTTATGGTCGAACGTGCATATGACAATGACTCAACGAACTAAGCTGGTGGAGTACTTGTCACCTTGATGCCCTAGCATGACTTAAAGGTCAGTTGAGTAGTGGTACGAGAAACAGCAGTTGCCACTTTGGTGTATATTTCTACCCTACGATGCGCGTCCAATGGAGAAGTTGTACCACCGTCCTGACGGGAGTCCGACAGCAGTAAGGCGCGCTCCCTTTCGACGACCATCAGCATCAACTTGGTCCTGCCTCCGACCGACTGACGAAACCAACCTAGAACCTCCTGCATATGGTGCATTGACTCACGTTTCCGCACTTCACGCCAGTACGCAAAGAACAGATAGATAGAAAGACTGATGTAAAAGAAGATAAAGTAGTGTGAGAGAATAAACAATATGAAGACAAAAGTTGGTGCGAATATTCAAAGTTTAGATGATATTAAGGAATGAATACGTCTGCACCGTTGTAACCGGTTTTCACCCATGTCACCAAGAATCCTCAACCACTCATTCTTTTCGTCTTGGAGACTCCACCCAGGTTGTCTATATCTCCTCACATAGCTCAGAGGGACAGTAAGAGGCTTCATGAACTGGTGCAACCCTCTTCCAACCTAATCCAACTTTCCCTAGCCCTGTACGTCAATGTAGACGGTGGTTCAGCATGTGCAGTACATGCTGAAGCTATCTCAGACGGCTAAGCTTCACAACTTCATCAACCGACTTGGCTGTCTTGCCTAGTACCCTTCAACTGACCTCAACACTGCTTACACGATAATCCCACCAGACGCGAGCAATTCTGCGAAGACATAGGTGTTCGAAACCCTATAATAGCTAAATATAATCCTACTTTCATTGGATAAGTTTCACAGGCGTACAACAAGACAGGACGAACTGCAGTGCAGCATACTCGCCCCTTGATAAGTAGTTGGATATCTCGCCAGTCTGCACCACAGATGATGCACATTGACAAATGCCAAACGGGCCTTCTGCATCCGAGCTGAGATTTCATCAGCAACCAGCCAGTTCAGTCTGATGAAACTCCCCAATTAGATGAAGTGGTCAATGCATTCTAGTACTTCATTTCCTATCCTTAAACTGGGAGTCTCTGCAGACCAGTCCTAGAGCATTATCTTACATTTGGTAGATGCGGAACGCATGCAAAACATATCCAGATTTCTGCTCAACGCGTTCAGAAGACCCTGCGTTGAGTCAGCGTCTTAAATCAGCAGGAAAACATTGTCTACATACTCCAGGTCAACCAGATGATCTCCAGGGGGTAGGTCAACCACAGTAAAGTCAGACGTACGTAAGGTTATGTCCATTAAAACGATGATGAAGCGGTCATATAGGAACGGCAGCACCGAATGTTTATCCAAATTATCACTCTCGCACTACATTACCGTAAACGGATGTCGGTAACATCGTTTTGTATTTGGATTCGAAAGGCAGAAACCGAAACCTTTAATTTGCATGAAGGCCGTATGTCCGGCCTCTGGCAGATTTCTTCCGTGTTGTACGGTGACGTACATATTCATTTTTCCAGGTATTCTTCAGAAACAACGTCTACGGTGTATGTAGCTGGGAAGTGTCAGATCCTCCTGACGGTTCCTGCTGTGTGCAAAACCCAACTACGCATAACTTAGTTTGCACAATTTTCTTGACTCTTGCTGTTACTTTCTGACCTTAATAATAATTCTGTGAAGATTTCGATCTTTTGCAATCAGACCACTGCCAACGGCCTACTCCGGTGAAACACCACTCCTAGTCTCTAAAGACCTTGTGAATTATTTCAAATTGGATTTTTTAATCTTCGAACTGTATGTCGTATCCGAGAAACGACATTGGTCATCAGAACTCTGTCCCTTAAGATAAGGATGCATCCTGTGATTCTGAGATGCGTATAGAGAACATGAGAGTGATTGGTAACTTTATCACGCCTCATAAATCTTTCGGATCTGCAAGATTTACGGAGATTAGACGTTTAGCGTTGACGTAAGCGTAACAATAGGTTGTTCAGAGAAACATGCACTTTTCAACTTGATGCCAGTCAACAGGATTCTTTATGCCGTCCGACTGAATGGATCTGCAAGGACTAGGAAGAATCATGTGATTAGCCGATGCCCATTTGGAATCTCCGCTGAGGGCCCACCGACTACTGTCCGAATGATAGAAAAGACGAAGTCCCTCAGGAACTATTAGTCTTGTTACATAATACAAAATGTCCAGACTTAGTCATACAGGTATGTGATTTCAGCGCCCGAGGACGAAAGTTGAGCCAGTCGCAAAGTCATCTAGTAGAGGTATACATAGTCCCATGACAACTAACCTACAGTAGTGATCAATTAGTGCAAATTCGTGGTGGCAATCACTTGTTTATGGCTAGCACTAACTTCAAACATAGGAAAAGATACTGTCTTACATGGCATCCGACGAATTCAAACAAGCGATGGACACAGACAGATCGAATTGCTATAAGCCACCGTTGGAGGATTGTTGTTCTTTCTGGAGTACCAGTTCGAACTCGGAATATGCGTTAGAACGAGTTCATACGTATTTTCCCCCTGAGTTTACTATGATTACGCTACCCTACGTGTAATCTTCATGTCTGTGCAACATGCCCAATCATTCCACTCCCTATTGCTAGATCAGACACCCACTGAAGACTGGTCCTGGTGCAACACTTTGCGATTGGGTGGCGAGGAATGCATCCTAAACATTATCAGGTTGCCATCATAGGTATCCATAAACTTCTTTAT